GTCAAACATATATTTTATTCAAAAATAAAAACATAATCGCTTTCTCAAAATCACATAATGTCATATTATAACATCGACTAAGATAAAAAATAAAATGAAATATTAAAATCACGACGTATCTCGCTGCATTGCGCGAGTACACTTCTAGTCTTAAAAATTTGTTTATAACGTATTATTTTATATAATTTTTTTTTATTTAAGAGTATGATTTAAAATATTAGTTTAAGGGTTTGTTTGTCAAACACTTACCCAATAAGTGTTTATTGGTAAAACTTAACACTATTATTTATTTACAGGATAAGATTTTAGTCCGTCAAAACGATATCGTATATAATAATTTACCTGGTAAACCCTTACCGTGGTAAAAGTCATCGCTCTCACTTACCAGGAAAGACTTTTGGTTATTATCTCGTTCTTGCCGGGTAAGATTATTGATCCTTACCATATTCATTCGACAAGGTAGTATGACTTGGTAAGGACGTAATCGAGTAAGCGTTTAATAAACGGCTCCTTAGACAAATTGCAAAACAAATGTATTTTTATCGATACATAAAAAAACCATTAAAATAAAATAGATATTTGAAAATTAAAATATCAGGCCCAATACTATCCCATAATTGGGCTGGGTTCCAAGCGGGCTTTAGCAAACACGATTAATACCCAATTACCCATATAATCATCTACATATCATTGAGGGGTTGTTTGTTTACCTTCTAATAGTTTCATTAAGAGTCGGTCTTTGAATCGTTAAAAGATGAATTTTGTTTGACAAAATTTTTTTATCTATTAATGGTTCTAAAACTCTATGAATGATTTTATATCTTGGGTCTCATTTAACCATTCAGCTCCTAAACTTCATTCTAAACAATTACCAAACAATTATATTTTATTTTGCACTACATCATAAGAACCTCTTAATTATTATGTCCACTCAGTCATTCTACACTAAACCATTTAGCAACTATCAAAAATTTCCTAAGTCCCTCGTTTGTCTTCTGTGTTGAGTGAGTCAAAAAATATCTTTTAAAGATAGGTTATGTGTGGGGTCAATTGAAGTTACCAATAGACAATTTTTTATCCAAAAAAAATTTAATTATATTTTGCAAAGTTAGTTTTATAATCAAGATATTTAGGTTAAATTTTATTTTGGCAGATGTTTTTCGATGTTTTATTCTTCTGACATAATGAGTATAAGAAATCCACGAGCAACAGGATCAACGACCCCTAACTGTTTATTAAATCTCCTCACATTAATAAACGACTAGATACTTTTGCTTTTACATTGTATATATACGTAATTAGTTATTTACAGTATATTGATTTATTATTATTTGCTATTTTTGTGCTTTTAAAAAATAATTTGGTAACCTACTATTCTTGGGTCTTTTCTTGCCAATTAAAATCTCATCAATCATTGATCTTATCTTTAATAAATTTGAATAATAATCGTTGTATTTAATATCATTTCATACAACGTTTATTTCGTATAGGTTTTCTAATAAGTAAACGTGACCTTTAAAAAGATAATGATATATGTATAATTCATACGTAAAACTTTTAAAACAATGTTCAAGACCTTATTTTATACAATTACTGATACTTATATTTACATATAGGGTTGGGTTCACGTGAGACCATACTGTTTTCGTGAGTCACGATTTTTACATTTGAAATTTCATAACAAAATGTTGTTAATGTAAAAAAAAAAAGCCGAATCTTCACAACAAAAAACACTATGAAGGTTACCTTCACAGCTAGTGTTTTGCTGTGAAGTTTCAAGTGTAAAAAGCGTATCTCATGTGATCCCAAATTTTTACAAATATCAATGTATTTTCATAAATTAAAAATAATTTACTTTAAAAATTAAAATTGATTTTTAATATTTTAATACAGTTGAATAAGTATTGTTTCAATTTATTATACGATTATAATATATTTATATTGAATCAATGTATAATCCAACATGCAACCCATTGACCTACAAATAGTGGTTGTTTTTCACAACTCACCACCAACATTCAACGTGTTCATAGGTTCCATTCAGATGGGTTTCTCATTTGTGTGGTTATCTTTGCTACTCATGGCTTGGATTACCTCGAAAACCGTTCTTTCGTTAAGCATCGGGAGTTCGGAAGGCACTGTTAACGTGAATGGAACGGCTTCGATCGGTTTTGTAGACGAAGACTTCATTTGTGCTACGTTAGATTGGTGGCCACGGGAAAAATGTGATTACGGAAATTGTAGTTGGGGTCAAACTTCTCTTATTAATCTAGTAAGTTCATACTGCTAATCAAGTCCGGGACCGATCTACAGTTGTTATCGTTTATCCTATTTTCTAGCATTATCGTTGAAATTTTGAAAACGTTCAATATGATTTCCTTTGGTAGAAATTTTCGAAGGTTCGATTTTTGCAATTTTGATTAAACATTTTTATACCAATCTTTTTTATCTGACGTGAACTAATATCGTTCGACTGAGTTTGCACCAGTGACACGTTCAGCGGCTAATTGTTTTTGAATCAATGAACACTCTTGCTTTTAAAACATTGTCGTCGTTTATGTGTTTTTTGGGAGTCTCATTTATTCAATTTTTGGCAGGATCTTAACAACAAAATCTTGTTTAACGCTGTCAAAGGTGAGCACAAGAAAACTTGACAAGTGACCGAGATTCAAATATTATTGTACTTTCAAATTTTATTGCAATTTATGAGTTTCAAATGTTTCTATAATATATTATAAAATATTTGACAAAAACTCTTAAAAACCATTTTTATGCATGAAGTTCTGTTTATTGATATATATTACTTAAAATTCAAGATTACAAGTATATTATGTGTAAGTACAACTTATTTATGTTTGAATTCGTATAATTAACTGCAGGTAAACATAATCAAATAGAGGATAAACATTTCATTTTAAATATAAAAAATCTAAAATATAATTAGGATAATCATTGAGTTGTAACAAAATATTTAATTATTATCTTTATAAAAAGTTATATTATTAAACGAAAAATAAAAAAATGAACTAAAAAGAAATACTTAAAAAAAAGAAATTCTAAATAGTTAGTTTAGTACCCGTATAAATATTTTTTTTTCAATTTTTTATGATATATCTTTATATTTATATTTTATTAAAAAAGAAAAACATTATTGTGTTCTCAAAACCACATAAAACCGTATTATAACATTGACTAAGACAAGAAAAAAACGAAATATTAAAATCGAGATGTATATCTCGCTGCATAGTACGAGTACCCTTCTAGTGTTTTCAAAAGGAGGACCAAAACCGCTCATTCCCTCTCTCGTATTTGTAATACAAAAAAACGAAAATACAGTAAATATTACTTTGAATACACATCCTAAAAAACACATTCAGTTAAATTTTGATTCTTATATGCAGCTTTTTCTCCGTTGAAACTTAGACTGGGTGGGACTTTGCAAGACAAGGTGAGATACCAAAAGATTAGTGATCAAGAACCGTGTTCAAATTTCACCAAAGATACAAGTGTGATGTTTGGTTTCACCGATGGTTGCTTCACCATGTCAAGATGGGATCAACTCAATATTTTCTTCAAAAATTCTGGGTAAATTAAAACGCTATTATAATTATTACGTTTTAACTACTTTTTGTTAATTTTTCTTGTCAAAAGTTGACATTTTCAGATAGATTTGCCTTCAGTAAGCATTGATATGATATCATATATGTATGGACAAATTGAGCAGGTCGATATGTATAATACACTGTGTAGTAATTAATTAATGACACTTTCTTGATGTTTATAGTGCGAAGGTTATGTTCGGGTTGAATGCGCTAAGTGGTCGAAAAATCAACCCTAATGGTACGACATATGGAGCATGGGACTCGAGCGATGCAGAATCTCTTATGAGATACACTGCAAACAGGGGATACGTCATTCATGGTTGGGAACTAGGTAAGTTGTTTCTTTCATATTTATACTCTTTACAATCATATCGATTGACGGATATTAACAGAAACGTTTGTCAATCACATGTTAATACTCCCACAATTACATATATTCATCATTTTTAATCAAATTAACCAACATATAATCTTATTAAAACTGAATGCAAATAATCAGGAAATGAACTAAGCGGAACAGGGATTGGAACAAGTATCAAGGCAAAACAATACGCAACCGATACGATTGCCCTCCAAAAGTTAGTGCAAAAGATATACGATGGATTTCAGGAGAAGCCGATGGTTCTTGGACCAGGAGGATTCTTTGATGCAAATTGGTTCAACGAGTACGTACTAGAAGCATCAACTTCCCTTCAAGCGATTACTCAACACGTTTATAACCTTGGTCCAGGTAAAATTCTAACGATGATATTAACAATCAACAACTATTCTTGTTAGATCGAGTCCATTGAAAATATGCCATAAATAGGTGTCGATGAACATTTGGTCGAAAAGATACTCGATCCATCGTATCTCGATGGAGGATCACAACCGTTTAGAGACCTCCAAAACATTCTTAAGAAACACGGGACTTCAATGGTGGCTTGGGTGGGTGAAGCTGGAGGTGCCTACAACAGTGGTCGTAATCTTGTCAGTAACGCTTTCGTGTTTGGCTTTTGGTAGGTCTTTTTGACACAAAATTGCTCGTTACTTCAAATGTTTGCACAATTTTACGGTCATCACACTAAATTTAATGTTAAATTGCATTGGGGATAACCGGAACAGGTACTTGGATCAACTTGGGATGGCATCTACATACGATACCAAAACATATTGTCGACAAACGTTGATAGGAGGAAACTATGGACTTCTTGACACTACAACATTTCTCCCGAACCCTGATTACTACAGGTACATTTATATATTCCGACATATTTTGAGTTTTGGCGATTTACTGTTACCATTAATCGTTAAAAGAGCTCTTAAAGACATAATGAGATTCCAAAATATAAAAGTAAACTAAAATTTTGGCCCCTGTGGTATATTAGAAATTTCGGTTTTTATTCTTGAACTTATTACACAGGTGGTTACTATAGTTTGTTCCAACTTTGTTAGAGAAATGGGGTGAAAGACCAACACCCCTGAGTTTTGGAGTATTTTTTTGACAGAGTTGGTCAGAGGGGCCAAAAACAAAAGCGAATTGCAAACCACGATGAAACCAGTCTAATATAAAAGTTCAGGGCTGAAAGAAAAAATTTCAAACATAACACCAAAATTGCAGTTCATTTCTAGAAGAAAACGTCAATGTCTAGCCAGCATAAGACTTCAACACACCTCCAAAAGAGGGTAGACAACTATAGATGACCCGGAATGTCAAGTCCCCTTCAAAGGTAATCGACCTAGACACTGAAATCATGTGGGATATATGAAACCTCATTAGATTACTATTCAAAAGAATGATTGAGGAGAGAATTGGGGTTTCAATATATATCAAAAAAATGCTACAAGTCTAACCGATGTGAGACTCCAATTGTCAATAAAAGCAGTTATGTCAACTCCATAGCAACAAATTTTAAACACAACAGGAGGTTTATCCGTCAACTATTTTAGTAATTTGACGTTCTCGAATGCTTTAACACGCTTTAAAATGCAGCGCGCTTCTTTGGCATCGGCTAATGGGAAGACATGTTCTATCAACGCGTTTTATCGGCACAAACAAAATACGTTCTTACGCACACTGCTCAAAAACTTCAGTAAGTGCATACATAGATCCAAATCTCAATCTCTTAATCGCTTTACTAACTTAAGATAGTGTTAAACTTCACAGGCAGGGATGACGGTGCTCTTGATCAACCTAGATGGTCTTAAAACAACCAACATCGGCCTCTCTTTTGAAAACGCCACTACAATAGTCAAGTCAATCCAACACGAACCAAAACATACACAAAAATCAAAATTTTCCAAGATGCTACGAAATCCTAAATTTGCCGAGGCCACAAGAGATGAGTATCACCTAACAGTAAAGAACGGAGACTTGCATAGCCAAACAGTATTACTAAACGGGAATGAACTACTTGTAAATTCTTCGGGGATTATACCTTTGTTAGAACCAATAAAACAGAACTTCTCAAGCCCGATCACCGTCGCTCCTTTCTCCATTGTATTTGTTCATATACCTAGCATACATGTTCCTGCATGTATATGACCAAATGGTAACTAGTTTTTTCTTTGACTAACAAAGTAAAACAAAGAGAAAATTGGCTCATGTTTCAGGGCAGCCTACCGTCAAATTACTCGACTCGTCCCTGTCCACTTTTCTGTTTTAATTTGTCTCAAAATAGGTATCTAATTATATTATAAGGGTAACATTATCATTTAGTTAATTAAAAAGTGTGATAATTACACATATTTCTAAAGTGATCTGCCTTTTTCATTATGGACATTTATTTTGGGACGGAGGGAGTAGTTATTTAAATGTTGTAGTTCATGTTTCAATCACCTTTATCTCTACTTACTAGGGTAGAAATTAGGTCTATTTACATCATACCCCCACCCAATCTCGGGTGTGGGGTATAATGGGCTCGTTTGCAAAATAATATGGGGTTATCCTCGTAGATAACCACATCAAGATAAGATATTTATTTTATTGCCATCTGACTGTAGTTTTTCACAAAATAGCCAAGAAATCGCAAGTGAACGCCGCAAGACACCTTTCTTATGGTTTCGCAAGTTGATGGCCTTGTGGTTCCGGAGATTGTGAAATGGGCTTACGGTTTCGCAGCGTGCGACTTTGCCTTGTTTTTTGTGCGTAGACGCAAGGGACTACGATACCGTAACTAGCAGTTTTTAATGGTTTTTGTGGTGGGTCCAATTTTTCACTGGATGCGTAAGATTTTATCAAAAAACCGCAAGGAAAAGTATCTTGCAGTTTCTTGCCTATTTTGGGAGAAAAAACTGTGAGATGGCGAAAGTAAATGTTTTTTTCATGAGGTGGCCATTTGAGATGATAACCCCAAAAATCGACACTTCTGGATCGATTTGTCCTGAGCACCATCATTTTCAAAGAACAAAAACAGTAATTTATGTCTTTTCTTGCTGGAAGAAAGGGACTGGCGTCGAAACATGTGGTAAATTGGCGAATGGATACCAAACATTGGTTACCAGGCTCACCAACACTGAACCAAACTTCAAATAACAAAACAGGTTATTTGGGAAGGAGTCTTCTTACACAAGAATTTGTGTTTCTACAAATAGATTGTTTCCATGACTTGTGTCTCCAATCAAGACAACGAACACACCTTATCTGGGAACAAAATGTCATTCACAAACGGTTAGCATTCAGACTCTGGCCATATCTATGTGACCACATAATTGCTAGACGTACAATACAATGAAGAGGGATAATCCCAAATCCCGCACCACCAACCATGTTTATCATGAACATTGAAATACTACATTCTTCCTCCGTGCCATAAAAATTGCAATTAGTTGACTCTACAGTTTATCTATTTCAATATTTATCCAAATATCTAACGTACACTTCAATCCTTTATATCAACAATTTCTAATGACGAAGAAAAATAAGTAATTTTAGCTTCGAAACTTTCTAGGAAAGAAACATTGGGCCACCTGAATGGAAGGAGGGTGAACCAGTTTCCAATTTACTACTTAACCAATTTCTTGCATTGGGTGACAAAATAAGTTCTAATTCAACGATTTTAGGATGCAAAACTAGCAAACCCCTGGTTAAGGTTTGAGTAAAACGGGGATAGTTTATCAAATTATATAGAAAGAGAGTTAAACAATTTTGTTTTTAATCTACAAAATAACAATAGTATAAGAAAACGATAGAAAACAATTCTATGTGGCAAAAAAACATAGTTTCCTAACGGAGATGGTAAAGTGTATGGCTATTCTCCTAACAGAGATAGTAGAAAACAATTCTACGTGGCAAAAAATATAGTTTCCCTGGAGTAATGATAACCGAAAGAAAAATAACTGATGCAAGTCGTAGAAAGAAAGGTATAGGTTCCTGACAGAAAGAAAAATAACCGATGCAAGTCGTAGAAAAAAACAAAGAATAAAATGGACACTATTTCACATTAAAAGAGACCATGGAAGCATGTTTACCTTGTACAGAGCCGCTGCAGCATGCACGATTTTCATCTATATAAGTTGCTTGTATGCCCATCATCCAAGAACCGATTGATGTGTCTTCGTGAGCGTAAGTCTTCAGAGACGCACTGAAAGAGAAGAAGGATCAAATTCAAGCAATGCTTTTCTTAATAGTGAATACTGATTCCACATTGAGAAAAACAACTTATGTGATGATTATATGATCTGGGCTACTCAACTTATAGTAAACTCGTTTAGAGTTGGAACTAACACGGTTTGATATAGTATCACAACTAGATTTAGGGCCTGTTTGTTAGCAGCTTAACGAGCTTAATGGATACACAGCTTATTCAGTTAGCTATAGATGACTGTTTGGTAGTAGCTTAATGATATAGAAAGTGGCTTATTCATTAAGCTTCTAGGAGGGAGCTTTATGCAGAAAGCCAAGCTTTTTCCGAACTTGTCCCTCCTAACTAAAAAACACGCTCCTTCCATTTATGAAAAAACTTTCCCAAACAAAAACCTTCCCAACCTATATAGACAGATTAATCCCTACACACATCTTTATCGATAAAGAACTTAATGGAAAACCAAACAAATAGGCAATAGCCCCTTAATGGAACCACCACTCAACAGCCTGCATGCATAGTCCGTTTATTCAAATTATATTCAGGTTAAACTACGGGGAAGCTTCTATTTATTAGAAGAGTTTGAAGTAAATAATGCTCCAAAAATTGTACTGAAACATTCACATCTTTTGCAAGGGACAACTTACCTGTTTATATTTATGTACTGTGCAAAATTTTTCGATAGAATGAGAAGTGACCCAGATGCATGCCGAAAGTACCTGGATATAAAATTTAATAGAATGAGAAGTGACCCATCTTCATTTCTTCTTTCACCACATATACGGACGAGAAATGAAACTACATACATCACTATGATATTAATTTCAGAAATCTGATGACTACAGTACCTTATGAAGTCCAATTTTAAAGGGTTATTAACATTATTCTAATCACAAGCTAAATACTTACGATTTCTCGTCACCGAACTTCCACCAATCTGGTTCATACCATGGTTTTCCCCTGACAATTGACAAACACAATTGGGTTGGAAAAATAGAAAATTACATACATCTAATACACACACACACATATATAGAGGGAGGTTCAGCGAAAACCCCAAGAAAATGAAAAACTGAGGAACACCCTCATAACCATTCATTTGGACAATATGCACATGTGAATACAAGTAATTGAAGCTGTTTCTTGGTTTTTATGCACGTGTGCACGTTATGCAAGTGTGCATATAATGCACATGTGCATACCAGAAAAATTGCTTACAAATTACTTGTATGCACATGGCATATACCGTCCAGATGAATGGTTACCGGGGTGTTCTCAGTTTTTCATTTTTTGTAGTTTTCCCTGAACCTGATCCTATATATAATGATCCCATTGAAACTACAAAATGTTAGTTTCAGGACAAAAGAAAATCCATATTTCTAGTATTCTATCATCTATGGTGAATATGTTAATGTGGTAGATGTTCAAAAGACCAAATGGATGAATGTAAGGGTTCTATGTTTAGCATGACCATGAAGTGGATACTAGCTTCTACTCGTTTTCACCAATTTGTGGGTCCCATTTGCTTGATGCATGTCGAACGGAGATGGGGCCAGCGAGATTGAGGATGAACGAAATGGTATAAAAGAAATTATTCAAAGAGAATACATGTCAGACATTAAAAACACAAACAACATATTCAGACTGAGTATTGGTAAAAAAAGATACTTACTCTTCAGCAACCACCTCTCCTGATTTCATGCATCCAAGATAAACACTATCTTGACCACGGCGACTCTCAAGAAGTTCAATTAACCCCTCTGAAAGGTGAATAAGACTAATAAATACAACAAACATTCTAGCAGAGTCGGATGTATTATGAAGGTGTGTTTTAATACAAAAATAAATGGGAAGCTTCTTACCAAGATCAAGGGCAATATTATTATCCACCTTTACATAAAACTCTGCATCCCAATTTTGAATTGCTGTGCTAAAGAAGAACTTTGCTTTCTTTGGTGATTCTTCATCAGCTTCCTCATGACCATCCTAAGAATCAAACAATTAAAAAAAGTCATGCTAGCACCATTCATGTGGGAGTTGAATAAGCACTATCTCGTTGAAAAGTTCTATACATAGGAAATGAGATTCAATTCTTTACTGCAAATTTCTAAAACTCCAATAGTGACCTACCCCAATTTATTGTAGAAATTTTCGGGACTGTTCGAGAACAAGTGGATGATGACAAAATTATCAAAACGAAATGGTCCCTCCGTAACCAGTCATCCATCAGGAGAGAAAATATAATTTATTTCTCAACCAAGGTGTTTCTTCGAGGTAGTTCAGTTAAGGTCTGTTTGTTAACAGCTTAATTAGCTTAATGGGACTCAACTTATTTGGTCAGCTATACATGACTGTTTGGTAGTGGCTTAATGGTATAGAAAGTGGCTTATTCAGTAAGCTTCTAGGGGAAAGCTTTATGCAGAAAGCCAAGTTTTTCCAAACCATCCCCCTCCCAATTAAAAGACACGCTCTCCCAAACAAAAACCTTCAGAATCTATACAGACTGATTACTCCACACAGACAGCTTTATACAAAGAGAAAGGGTATTTGGATGATTAGTCGAGATAAAGTTCTATAGTACCATTTATAAAACCATATAGCTTGAAGATATATCCTACTAACTTACAAGAATCAAGAAATCTTTTGTTGCACGATTTTCCTCATCAATGTTACGGTCCAAGCTGTCACCGCGATTAGGACTGAAATTTCAAAGGTTACTTAGTTTGGGTTAGTTAACAAAGAGAAGTATGCTATATAGGTTTTCAACTGATATAGTAATTATTACAACTTCAGTCAATTTGACAAATACATTCATCTCTCTTCTCCATTAATAATTTTGGATGTTTTTTTGTCCAGAAACCTACTTGCTAGACGATACACACGCATTGTGGCAAACAAATACAGCACGGATCCTACTAAATAAATATTAAAAAAAAAATAAGGCGAGTGGCAAACCTCCGACCAATTACAAAACGTATGACAATTCCTCTTTCTTCAAGCTTCTTTAATGAGTTACCTGTAAAACTCAAGTGGATTAGCATACAAAAATAACACTAAAGAAAGTGGGATCTTCTGGTTACACTTAGATGGACTTAAGGAGTCAAGATGGGGTGAGCGTTGAAGTAGCCACTGAGGTACTCCAAACACCGGGCAAGGAGAATATTAAAAAAATACAACATCTTTCAATCATTCACTGACCAGTTGGCATCCAAGATCCTCTGAAAACATTTCTATTTAATCGACTCCCAAAACCAGTATAAACGCCAATCACTGCAAGAAGTTTTTTTTGGGAAGAGTTGCCAGGTTGCTTCAACTGGTCTGTAAGGAAACCTTGACTCTTTGCTAGCGTTATTTCCATCTCCGCTTCCACAATTCTTCTCTCTAAATCCCTAGAGAGCAAACATTCGTAACAGACAGAGTATTATCATTTCAAGAGGTACCTTAGAGATTTACACATAAAAATAGAGGGGGAATGTCTTGAAAGAGAAACTAGAAAGACCCGAAGATTACTTGCATCCTAGGACCATGAGCTTGTCTTCAACTGTAAGAACCTTCGGTCGCTGCCACCAAGCACGACAAAAAAGTTAACAGAACTCATTATATAGACCATATATGTTTCTCTTAATTTCATGGAAATAAGCAACTAACAGGGTGTACCCATCTGTTGAAAGTGATAAAATTATTCTTTTTAGTCCATCCGAAAGAAAGAGAGAGATATGCTATTTATATTTGTCTTATAAATGATGCATGCCCATCTCATGAAAATAGAGACGTCTCCTTCTATGAAAGTTTTTAAGTTCAAAAGTACATAATCGCTTATTAGCATAACTACAAACAAGTGAAGGTAGTTTTTTGAATCCACAAGATTCATTCATATTCCGATGCTATCCAAATAGTAAAACATTTTCCTTAAACTATGAACCAAATCAAATATTGCAGTTCATTTGGGAGAGAGAATAATGTTCCCAGTTAACAATAGTTGATCCAATATAATAACCTCAATCATGCTTCACTAGAATCACTATAGTGATTCTTGATTTGTATTCAGTAACATATTTATGCATCAATACTTAGGGCCTGTTTGTTAGCAGCTTAATGAGCTTAATGAGACTCGCAGCTTATTTGGTCAGCTATATATGACTGTTTGGTAGTGACTTAATGGTATAGAAATTGGCTTATTGAGTAAGCTTCTAGGGAGGAGCTTTATGCTAAAAGCCAAGTTTTTTCCAGACCTGCCCCTCCCAATTAAAGAACAGGCTCCTTCCATGAAAAAAAAACTCTCCCAAACAAAAACCGTCCAAATCTACATGGACAGATTAATCCACACAGATAGTTTTATCCAAACATGACTTGAACATTAAGTCATGCTGGCTGAGATAGATCAAGATCAGTTATTTTATTAATATAACATCTAAAGCAATTGAACAATTATGGATGCAAAGCAAACCTCTGCAGAATTCTTCATAAGCAAATTAGACAACAACATTCTGTTCTCGGCATCCTGCCATAACCTAGTAAAATCAAACGATTTAGACTTAAATTAACACGATTATTTTCAATTATGGAGGGGATAACAAAATCCCGTACTATCCTCAAAAACCCTAAGATTATAAACCCTGTATTTCACAAAACACAAATACAAGATCCAGAAATTATTGAATTTCTCACCAACAAACACAGGTCTTAACATACGAATTACAAGTAACATGATCACATGAAATAAAAACCCTACAAATTTAGGGTTTGTAAACCATAAAAGTTCATCGGGATAAAAAATTTCAATGTTTACCAACTAAAGTACAAATGCACAAAGAGAAAGCTGGATACCTGCCGGCGATGTAAAGCCAAGCGAGACAAGAGAAGAAAGCGAAAAAGATTGAAGGTATGGAAGACCTTGATGATGATCTAGATCGTTGTTTTTCTGTTTTGGATATCGTTGTTGGCAATGGCAAGCCCTCCTTGTAGTATGGAGGGCTGTTCTCCATTTTCTCTGTGTTTTTGTGAACAACTAAGAAATTGAATTCAACGGTAATCAAGCAAGAACTGATTTGGGGTTAAATAGGCGATGGAATGTTGGTTGATTTAGTGGATCCAATACATTGAAAGCGGGATCGAACGAATCACTGGATTTGCAGTTAGAGAAATATCTGAACAAGACTTGCGAACAGGTCCTACTTAACGGATCGTCAACAATCAAGATCTACCATCCCTTTTGAATTTGGCTTTTCTCATTTTTTTTTTTACCATTTAATCTTTTCCATCAAAATATTTATACTATATTATAAAATATTTGACAAAAATTCTTAAAAATCATTTTTTATACATGAACTACTATTTATTAATATATATTATTTAAAATTTAAGATTGCAAGTAAATTATGCGTAAATACAACTTATTAAAATTCTATTTTTAAATTCGTATAACTAACTACAAATAAATATAAGCAAATACATGATAAACATTTCATTTTAAATATAAAAAATCTAAAATATAATTAGGATGATTATTGAGTTCTAACATAATCATTATCTTTAAAAAAATTATATTGTTAAGCCAAAAATAAATTACTTCATTATTTGACCTAAATTAAATTATAATAAAAAATAAAATAAAATAAATTGTATAAAACCGAGAACTTTTAAATAATTAAGTTGATATTAATATCGATATATTTTTTCAAATTTATATGATATCTTCAAATGTATTTTTATTCAAAAGTAAAAACATTATCTCTTTCAAAACCACATGAACCGTTTTATATCAACATATACAAAAAAATAAAATGAAACATTAAAATAAAAAAATATCTCAATGTACCCTTTTAATAGTAATTTAATATATTGATTAACATATATTTATTTTATAATTTATTTGCTTTATATTTATTCTTTTATTTGCACATTCCTTTAAATTTAGGTTTTCATGGGAATTAATCTGATTGCAAATTTTGAAAGTCTCTCCTTCCTTCAATTCAATTGCACCGCGAGAAGCTCTAATCACCTTCTTTATTGTCGAATCTGTGTCGTGTACTAGAGTTCGGTTCATGTTCGCCTTCTTTCCTAGATCTAAATAATAAAGTTAACGGCTAACGCTACAAAAAGGGGGGTTCGTGATATATGAATCCGTCGGGTTTGAACTCATCCCGTTAGACCATCTCCAACTCTAACACAAAAAAACTACAAATTGGTGGGGCATTGACATCGAAAATGGTTTCATCTTCAACAACATATATATACATATATATATATATATATCGTTTGAACAAGAACACATAACATATGTCGTTTCTCTCACATCTCTGACAAAATGCCAGCAAAATGGAACTTTTGGTGTACGATTGGAGATGCCTTTAGGATTGGTAGATAAAGCCAAAGTATTACGACCGTACTGACCAAAATATATATACACAAAGAGAGAGAGAGAGAGCTACGTACTATAAAAAGAACATTTCCCTTTTTAACGAACTCATCCATACAAATATCATCAGCTTTCAAGTGATTTCTTACTCTGAATTCACGCCAAACTAATAAACAGAATTTCATTTTGTTGTTCTCTTGTGTAGCATTGTTGGCCACATCCTTCGTGTTTCATCCCTTACAGTTACTTGTTTATATTTCGTTTTCGTAATCAACCCATTTAACTAACAAAATTCATTGGAACATGCTGCAAAACATGTATAATCACATTTTCACTTTAAAGTCGAAACAAACAATATCAAAAATCCACTTCGATATAGCTTTTGAACAAATTTCTCTCGGCCGTTTACTAACGGAGCGACACTTTGACATAGATTTTAATAAAGATTTAACCTTATAACGTTTCCCTTTGTAAATTGCTACAATATTGATTCAAGTGATCAAAGAATTTCTAGAAGTCCATACGAATTCATATCAAAATTAAAAGTCGAAAGATAACTAGTTTGATCTGAAATAAAGTTACCTTACCAATATCGATGTTTTAATATATTAAGGGGTCATTTTTCATATGAAACAAACATCATCACCAAGTCGGATGTTTTCTTCTTTTTGAGACGCGTGATTGTTCCTCTTGTGCGTTTTGAGCTTTCTCAACCCTTTCGTTCGACATTTCGAAAAAACAAAACAACATTATACAAAAAAAAAAATTATTTATAATACAATCAAACAGAAGTTCAAATAAGAAAGCTAAATAGCATGAGAAGCTAATAAGCAAGGAAGGTTAAGAAAATGTTCATATGTGAATTACTAAAAAAATTCATTTGAAAATTTTTTATATGATTCATATATTATAAAGAGAAATTGGTCAAAATAGTCATCAACTCAACCAATTTCACTTTTTCAACCAACTTCATCTTTTAACCAAAGTTTACATAAATATTTTGTGCATTTACGTAAACTCGATTTTCAGATTAAAAAAAAATTTGAGTAAGGATTCAATTTTGGGATTCTTACATATATATATAAGGTTTAGGGATGGTGATTTGCCTCGATTGGGTGCGGAACCCGACTCACCCGACCCGAACAAGACGGATATTCCCCGTTAAAACGGGTCCCGGGACAAGGAATCCCCCATAGACTCAAACCGGCGTATCCCCCGACCCACCTCATACCCGCCATATAATTTTATTAATATATTTTATACAATATATGTATATATATATATTATTTATTTTCTAAACTTAGGTCTTGTCCGGAGATAAGGATCGGAGTTTGACCAGAAAATAAATTGAGGACGAGATATTAATCCTTGTAAACGTCAGGGACCGGACCAAGGCCGGGGAACGTTCATAGAATGTGGGCTGAGGGTTAAAAAACTTGCCCACACTTCTTTCGGTAGAATTTTTTTACGAGAATCCAGTCTATAAAATTCCTGTATCCGTCACTAGTTTGGGTTATTATTGGTTTTTTGTGTTTGTGGTCTTTTTGTTGTGTTTTAGGTGGCTTTGTTCCTTTGTCTTGTATGCCATCGGGCTTCTGTTCTTTTCGTCGTTTCCTCGTTGTTTCGATGTTTTTGGTTCATAACTTTTTGTTTGTCATTAAAAAAAAATCTTTAATGTGATATTTGAAATTAATTTTCATTGCATCAATTAATGAGATTTTAGTTGGTATTGAAATTAAGGAAAACTTGCTATGTGATATTTTGGTTAAATAGCCAAAATGAATAATTTTTTATTTTAAATATGATGTAGAATTTTAGTTTCGATAAAAAAAAATATATACTGCATTTTTTATTTAAAATGATTTTTAATTTATAAATTAACCTGATTTTAAAATTAAAGGAGTTTACAAACCCTATAGATTTATTTACAATATCTACATCGGTTTTTGTATTAGATTTATATATGTTTAAATATGGCTCATTTAAGTGAGAACTGATTAATTTATGGTAACTGTGAGATTCAATCTTAACCACAAATCAACGGATACATTAGAAAATTAATAATTATGGTAGTTTGAATTAAAATTAAAATTAGAGGGCATTTTAGGTATTTTTAAAAAACTTCTCTTTCCTCTCTCATCTCTCCGACCTCCAATCTCCGGCTTCAAGTGAACATTAATTCGGCAGGTACCAAGTAATCACAAATATACACAATGTGATACCCATTATGATATACTGTGATACCAACTCAAACCTTAAAAACAAAGATACACAATGTGACCCATTGTGATATACTGTGATACCGATTTCACTGGAGGCCCGAGATTAAAGGTTGAAGAGATGAGAGAGGAGAGAGGGATTTTTAAAAAATACCTAATATGCTCTCTAGTTATTATTTTAAATTAAACTACCATAATTATTAATTTAGTAATTTATTCGTTGATTTGTAGTTGAGATTGAACCTTACAGTTACCACAAACTAATCAGTTCTTATTTGATTAGGCCCTGTTTAAATATATGTTATTTCATAAACCTGATCAAAATAACTTTTTAAAATATCAAATTTATAATTTTAATCCTAAAATTAAAATTTTTAACAAAATATCATCGGTTACCACCTTTCTCCCCAGCAGGCCTGCACCACCATATTTTTGTACAAGACTTCTACCCTAATAAAATTGCGACACGTAGATATTTCTTTTAAGGACAATGATGGTCCCCAACACTCTCCCTGCCACAGCAGTCTTTTGACTCTGTATATGTTAAAGGAAAAATTATTTTTGGTAATTATTGGTATAAAAAATTATAGGGTATAATTTTTTAATAATAAATTTTGCTTTTTTTTTAATGTTTTGTAAAATACAAATGTATTTTCAACCCAACAATAAAACATACAAAAATGAAGGTGTTTTTATCTTCAACTTAACATTAAAATACTAAAACATTAAAACGAGGCAATTTCTACTTTTACAATCATGTAAAAGGATATTTAAGGTGAAAAACGTAAAAAATGATCTGAATTCTTGATCATCTTTAATCTCAAACCCACACATGAATATCGCCTGACACGAGGATTGATCCAGTGCATTTCTGTGTATCTCATTATATGTGCATCCAAAAATGAAGATCAGTTCTTACAACTCTTCTTTTCACCGGAACCTAACAATATATATATATATATATATATATATATATATATATATAGGGAATGGTTCAAACAAGAACACTTTTATTTTACAAGAACGCAAGAACACATTTTAATATAGACAATCATATATGATACACATGTGATACTAAATTAGAGACGCTGACGATTTTCGATGCGATTTTGTTGCAGGCCAAGTCGCTCTTACGCCACTAATCTCCCTCACATGTATTATCACAATTCAAAATTAACTATTTACATGTACATGGATATAACATTTAACATATAGGGTACAATAATAATTAAGATAGACCGATGGTTTAGATGGTTCCACAAAAATCGGTATTTAAATGCAGCGTTATGTCAAAACAAGTTCTACCAACTTCTAGTCGTCAAAAAATCCTTCATGGATTTTTTAAAACGTAAAAATTCACGACCAACTTTTCGTCAATATTGTCGACAATCTCAAATTTGAAACAATCTCCTTCCTTCAATCCATTCGCAACACAAAAATCCTTCCATCCTCGTCCTATATAAATGTATTTGTTCTTATGATTCTTTAACTCGACAATGCACAATCTTTCATCTTCGCCGTTTCTAAGAATCATTTCTCCGCTACATAATAAGCCATTCTTCTTCGCAAACTCAATCGGTAGATGCTACAATAACAACAAACATTAGCAAAAAAAAATTAAACGTCAACGCAAAACGAGTTTTTTTTTTTTTTTTTTTGTAACTAAATGGGTGTTTGGTTAGAGGTATTAAAAAAAAATACTCTAATTCATTACTATTATTGTCGTTTCAGTCCTTCTAGTTTACAGTTCTTTACTTGTTTGGTCAGTTGTACTTAAAGGTAGAAATTTAGTCCAGGAAATCAAATAGCAATAAATTATAAATTATAGGGACAAAAACTACAATTTCTAAACCATAAGGACAAAAATGGAAATTATTAACAAACCATATGATACGAAAATCGTAATTTACTTTAAATCAAGGGAATGAAAATGTACTGCGATTTCTATTTTCATTCGTCAAACTGAACCAAACAACCTTAAATATTTTGATTTACCAGAAACGGCGCCGTCTTTCGTAAGCAATAGGATTTCAATTTGCTAATGAAGTATGGCCTTGCGTGATCATCTTCTCCTTCCTTTGGCATGCGAGAATTCCCTTCGATCATTCAAATCCGATACTTAAATATCAAATCGTAATGAAAACATAGATCGAATTCGAAGAGTTTAAAGTTACCGTTGCAAGAAAAGTTGACGACGGGAGGCTTGTTCTTCTTGTTTTCAATGAGCTCAAACTTGAAAACGTCTCCTTCCTTCAATCCATTGGCAACAACAAGAGCCCTGAAACCGATTCCAAGATAAAATTTTCTCCCGCCCATTTCTCTCAGCACAACCTCCCATGATCGACTTTTTTCGTCTCTAAGAATCATTTTTCCGATGTTCAAACCATTTGATCTCACAAAGTCAATCGGAAGATACTGCAATAAGAAAAGTGATGATATGCCATAGATCAAACTATATACAGACTTGAGATCATGAAAGACCAACCTGCTTTTGTGAGATAATAACAAAATAACACTCGACCTTCGTAGCAAAACGCTGTTGAAGGTTTGTTCACAATGTTTTTTTTTGCTACCTTCACAGTGTTTTTGCTTGTGAACGTTTAGTGTGTTTTTGGTCTCACGATGAAAATCTAATATGTATTTATTTTGTTCCATCATAATCTTGAGCGGATTTCAAAGTTACTGTTAACGTATTTAGTTTTTTCTTATTTCTTTTAGCTTATTTTGCTTGTGCTCCTATTAACAAGGAACTTTCTGTTTCTTGCTGATCTTTTCTTAAGTAGACCTAGTCTTTAGGACTGTTTGTTAGTCGTGGATTTATTTCTCTTTTCAGCTTCCTTTGTAAGCCTATAAATAGGCCACTTCAGTTAGTCAATAAAGCAGAAAGCATTCTCCCATTTCTTGTTGTTTACTTTGAGTTTTTAACATTTGGTATCAGAGCGAAATACCAAAACGTGAGAAGCAGCAKACTTTGATTTGTTCAAGCAGCAGAGATGGCAACGGAAAGCAACTTTGTGCAACCATCAATTCCAAAACTTGATGGTCACTATGATCATTGGTGTATGCTTATGGAGAATTTCTTGCGTTCAAAGGAATATTGGAGCTTGATAGAAAACGGGATACCCACAGCAGCAGCAGGGGCAGAACTGACGGACGGACAAAAGAAGGTGATTGACGATGCCAAACTGAAGGACTTGAAGGCAAAAAATTATCTATTCCAGGCCATTGATCGAACCGTCCTGGAGACCATTTTGAATAAGGATACGGCAAAGAGTATTTGGGACTCATTGAAGCAGAAGTACCAGGGAACAGCACGGGTGCAACGCGCACAACTACAGGCTCTTCGAAAAGAGTTTGAGGTGCTCCACATGAAGGTAGGCGAATCTGTGAATGAGTATTTGGCTCGAACTCTCACTATAGCCAACAAGATGAGGGCTCATGGTGAGAAGATGGGGGATATAACGGTCATTGAAAAGATATTGAGATCTATGACCCCTAATTTCGATTATGTTGTGTGCTCGATTGAAGAGTCTAATGATTTAGACACCTTATCGATTGACATGCTGCAAAGCAGTCTTCTTGTACATGAACAACGTATGATTGGCCATGGTGTGGATGAACAAGCGTTGAAGGTTACATATGAAGATTCATGGAGAGGAAGAGGACGAGGTCGTGGTGGATTCAGAGGACGAGGAAGAGGCAGAGGTAGACAAAGTTTTGACAAGTCTATTGTTGAATGCTACAATTGTCATAAGCTTGGGCATTTTCAATATGAATGTCCAAATCCRGCGATAGCGACGAAGGCACACTATGCAGAAGCTGACGAAGAAATGTTGTTAATGGCAAATGCGGATGTGAAGGAAGTGAGCAAGGAGGAGGTCTGGTTTCTCGACTCAGGATGCAGTAATCACATGTGCGGAAAGAAGGAGTTTTTCGTTGCCCTTGATGAGAATTTTCGTACTTCTGTAAAGTTGGGAGATAACTCAAGCATAACCGCAACCGGAAAAGGAAATGTACGATTACTAGTGAATGGAATTTTGCAGGTCATTACTGAAGTGTTTTATGTTCCTGGTTTGAAAAATAATTTGTTTAGTGCTGGCCAACTACAAGAGAAGGGACTTGCAATTCTTTTACAAAATGGGAAATGTAAGATTTATCATCCTGAGAGAGGACTAATCATAGTGGGTGAAATGACCTCAAATAGGATGTTTCCTTTGTCGGTTCAAAAAGTACTAAAGGAAGAAAGTTGCCTTTCATCTGCCATAGAAGATCAGACTCGACTTTGGCACTTGAGATATGGCCATTTAAGCCTCAATGGGTTGAAGACACTTCAACAGAAGAGAATGGTGAGTGGATTGCCACAAATTCAAAGTAATTTAGAAGTATGTGAAGATTGCTTGGTGGGTAAACAACGCAGAGATCCATTTCCAAAGGATAGCACATGGAGGGCGTCTCATGTTCTTGAGCTGGTGCATTCTGACATATGTGGACCAATCAACCCATCTTCAAATAGTAATAAAAGGTATTTTATTATTTTTATTGACGATTTTAGTCGCAAAACATGGGTTTATTTTTTGGCTACAAAGGCAGAAGCCTTCCTTACCTTCAAGAATTATAAGAGTCTTGTTGAGAAAGAATCTGGCGCATCTATAAAATGTCTTCGCACTGATCGTGGAGGAGAATTCACGTCACACGATTTTACTGAATTCTGTAAGGAAAAAGGTATACGTAGGCAGCTTACATCAGCGTATACTCCACAGCAAAACGGTATTGCAGAGAGGAAGAATCAAACGGTCATGAATATGGTGCGAAGCATGCTTTCGGGAAGAAAAATTCCAAAATCATTCTGGCCTGAAGCAGTCAATTGGACTGTGTATGTTCTGAAYAGAAGTCCAACCTTTGCAGTAAGAGATATGACTCCAGAGGAAGCTTGGAGTGGGTCTAAACCATCGGTTGATCATTTCCGGGTGTTTGGCTGCATCTCTCATGTTCATATTCCTGATAGTAAGCGAAGCAAGCTTGATGACAAAAGCTTGAGGTGTGTTTTACTCGGAGTCAGTGAAGAGTCGAAGGCCTACAGATTATATGATCCTGTCTCCCAGAAGATAATAGTCAGCAGAGATGTGAAATTTGAAGAAGACAGTAGCTGGAATTGGAGCACGAGCCACGACAAAGATATTCTAGTCAATCTAGACCGGGGAGAAAGTGATGAACAAGTTTCGGTTGAAGTTTGTGATAACGAAGACAGAGACAATAATGGTGATGCTGGTGGAATTATCGACGCTGCTCATCCTGACAGAAATTACATTRATGATGCTGGTGGAAATGAAAGGAATATCGACGCTGCTCATCCGGACACCACGACAGAAATTGTGGACGATAATCGGTTTTCTGAGACAAATGAAGAAAATCCGGAAAAAAGAAGGAGAAAGCCACCAACTTGGATGGGAGCTTACGAAAGTGGAGAAGGTTTATCAGACGAAGAAGACTCTACACACCAGGCTCTGTTTGTAGATAGTGATCCAATCTCATTTGGAGATGCTGTGAAAAGTATCAAGTGGCAAAAAGCAATGGATGCAGAGATAGAAGCCATAAAGAGGAACGATACATGGGAGTTAACTGATTTACCACCGACTGCAAAGACGGTTGCAGTAAAGTGGATTTACAAGACAAAGCTTAAGGAAAATGGAGAAGTCGATAAGTACAAGGCACGGTTGGTAGCTAAGGGCTATACTCAAGAGCATGGTGTGGATTATACCGAGGTTTTCGCACCTGTGGTCCGGCTAGATACTATACGAGTGGTGATTGCTCTTGCAGCTCTAAAGGCATGGACAATCTACCAATTAGATGTGAAGTCGGCCTTCTTACATGGTGAACTAAGTGAAGAGATCTTTGTTGATCAACCACAGGGCTATGAGCAGAAGGGAAAGGAAGACAAAGTATACAAACTGAAAAARGMTTTATAYGGACTAAAACAGGCTCCGAGAGCTTGGTATAGTCGTATAGAGTCTTACTTTGTAAGGGAAGGATTTGAGAAATGCCATTATGAACATACTTTGTTCATCAAGACTGGAAAATCAGGTACGATTTTGATTGTTTGTCTCTATGTGGATGACCTTATATTCACTGGAAATGATGAAGGTATGTTTGCTGAGTTTAAGAAATCAATGATGCTTGAATTCGATATGACCGATCTTGGAAAAATGAGATTTTTYCTTGGCATTGAAGTGATGCAAAGACCAGATGGCATCTTTATTGGCCAAAAGAAGTACACACAGGAGGTATTGAAAAGGTTCAATATGGACGAATGCAACCCAGTTCACAACCCAATGGTCCCTGGATGCAAGCTTACAAAGGCCGGAGACGGAGTGAAGATTRACAGCACTTTCTATAAGCAAATTGTGGGTAGTCTTATGTATTTGACTGCTACAAGACCAGATGTCATGTTTGTGGTAAGTCAAATTAGCAGGTTTATGGACCATCCTACTGAAGTTCATTTGCAAGCAGCAAAAAGGATACTGAGGTATCTGAAAGGTACAATCAATTTCGGGGTGTTCTACAAGAAGGGAGGAAATGAGGATCTGGTTGCTTATACAGATAGTGACTATGCTGGGGATCTCGACGACAGGAAAAGCACCTCAGGTTATGTATTTATGTTRAGCTCAGGAGCAATATCTTGGTCTTCAAAAAAACAGCCTGTAGTTTCTTTGTCCACTACAGAAGCCGAGTTCATCGCTGCCGGTGCATGTGCCTGTCAAGCAATCTGGTTGAGGAGGATATTGGAAGMTCTCAAGAGTGCTCAACATGATTCCACAATCGTATATTGTGACAACATTTCGGCAATCAAGCTCTCAAAGAATCCAGTCATGCATGGCCGGTGCAAACACATCGATGTTCGATTTCATTTTCTCCGTGAACTCGTAAAAGATGCAACTGTTGAAATGGTTCATTGCCCTACCCAAGAGCAAGTTGCTGATGTGATGACTAAACCATTGAAGCTCGATGTGTTCTTGAAGATGCGTAATCTCATGGGTGTTTGTTCAGAGCCTGGAGTAAACTGATAGCTATACCTGGAGCTTTCAGTTTAAGGGAGGATGTTAACGTATTTAGTTTTTTCTTATTTCTTTTAGCTTATTTTGCTTGTGCTCCTATTAACAAGGAACTTTCTGTTTCTTGCTGATCTTTTCTTAAGTAGACCTAGTCTTTAGGACTGTTTGTTAGTCGTGGATTTATTTCTCTTTTCAGCTTCCTTTGTAAGCCTATAAATAGGCCACTTCAGTTAGTCAATAAAGCAGAAAGCATTCTCCCATTTCTTGTTGTTTACTTTGAGTTTTTAACAGTTACCAGGATCGACTTTCTGAAGGTGTAAGGCTTGAGAGTTGAAGTAAAGTAAGGATGATCGTTAGAAGTCGACCGAGTGGCCTTCTTTATGATCGAATTAGTCTCGTTTACTCGAGTATAATTCTTGACCGGCTTCTTTCCTATTTCTGAATAATGAAGTTAACAAACGGTTAAACTCATCGGTAGGATGGGCCGGGGACGAGTGAGAGATAAAACCAACTGTTAAAAAGGGATTTACAATATATAAATATTATATATTTCAATAAAAAGGGTCGTAAGAAGTATTTATCGTATATAAATATTATATATTTCAATAAAAAGAAGAGAGCGAGAGAAATACGTACTTCGGAAATCGAAAACAAACACTTCTCCACGTTTAACGAGCACAAACATACAAGTATCTCCGACTTTCAAGTGATTTTTTACTTTGAATTCACGACAAACTAGTATACGAATTTGCTTTTCATTGTAACTGAGTGTTGCTGGCCATGTTCTTCGTCTTTCATCCCTTACAATTACTTGTCTATGTATCCTTTTAGTAATCAACCCGTTCGACCTTGCAAATTTCAATGGAACACTCTGCAAAACGTATATAATTACTTTTTGACTTTTAAGTCAAACCAAACGATACCAAAATTCAACTTTGATATGGTTTTTATTGCAGAATTAATACCAAAAAAGTTCCCTTCTCTAGTTTTGCTATAACTTGATTCAAGAACTCAAAATATTCTTAAAAATCTACACAAATCCACATCAAAGTTAAAAGTCAAATTGGAATAAGTTGACTTACTGCCAGTTTTGAAGATTTGATATAATAAGGTGTGATTTTAGATACGAAACACCGATCGTCACCAAGTTCATGTTTTGCTTCTTCCTTTTCAGATTCTGATTCTGTGAGGTGGTCTTTAACGTCCATTTCGTCTGATGGATTTGGATACTGTTTTTCACATGCAGATGGGTCAAACACCAAAAAGTCAAACATCATGTTTCCTTGATGTTTGAACACCATAAAGTCAAACTCTTGGACTCCATTTTCCATCACACACTTCCTCCAACCGTCACCGGAAAAGACACCGTCGACAATGTCCACCGGCCATTTGTGACCCCCTCGTCTTAATATTGCTTTCGAGCATCTTCCACCTTTCAAGTTGGGTAAAAAAGCTCTTGGAATCGACTGTAAAAATCAATAGAAAATAAAAGGTTATATACCGCGTAATGCCATTGATTGCATCGACGACTTGTAAATGGAAAATCTACAAGTTTATGATGCATGGAAAAAGAGCTTACAAGGTTAAGATTGAATGGTGGACGGATGAACTTGAAGAAATGTGTTGGAGCATCTGCCATGGCTGTTCTACTTTATGGTATCAGCTTTTTCTGTGTTACTATATATAGATATATAGATATATATATATATATATATATATATCTATGTGTATATATTGTATATAATCAGTGGGCCAGCCCAGCCCAGCCCAGCCCAGCCCAGCCCAGTGTCTTTACGGCTTCTGTGTGTCCTGACTCCTGTAAGGTTTTCTAGCTTACTTATGTCTTTACAAATTCCAAGGGGCATACACTCTTTCGCTTTTCAAAATCACATGTCTAAAATTTTTGCATCTCTATCCACCAGTCACATCAAAAGTAAGGAAAAAAAAAAACTATAATATGTATTCAACACCAAAAACTCTCATTGGAAACTTTGATCAAACATTTGGTGTTCATAAAACACAAAGAAATTTAACACTAGAAATCTTAACTAATAAAAGCATTAGAACTAAAGAAATTTAACAAATTTAGCCGAATCTGAAGTTTACAACAAGACTCAACTTGTAGCTAAGTCTTTGATCCTTCATACCACAATCTTTGATCTTATTGTAAATCATCCCGGTTTGCATATGAATTCATCAATTAACAAACTTTAAAACATCTACCAAACCTGCGTCATAAGTAATGGTGATTGCTCCCACATCCTTTCCAGAATGATGGTTCGAACTACTATATAAACAAGTTTCATGGACGATCAGCCACTGGGCTTGGTACCGCTTGCGTATGACTCAAGTGAGGGTATGAAGGTAGGTTGAATCTTGTCTCGGATCAGCATGGTTGGGTCTACTAGTGCATAAGTGGCTTGCACGTTCCACGTCAAGGGACTTGGTTCATGTATAGAGCCTGCTATAAATAACCCTTTGCTCTCAACACTTCATGTTCTTACTAACGTTCAATATCACTCGATGTGTTTTTAGCCTAATTTACTGTTTCGAGATATTTTTAAAGTTTTTTTTTTGCTTGATTTCAAGAAAATTTTTAGTTTTTTTAATCAAGTTCAAGGGACTTTTTTGATGTTTTTGGTTGATTTCAAGAGTTCTTTTTGGTTGATTTCAAGAGTCCTTTTTTGGTTGATTCGAGGTACGGTTGCACCTTTTTGAACTTTTGAATATCATGCGGTGGCACCATCTAAAACGATAAGATTGCACCTTTTATAAACGTAAAACATTTAACCTGACAGAGAGATAATACGGTGACACATGCTATCATATGCACTTCTATGAGTATGTCCATGGGAGTTTCTGCCATGGCTGTTCTACGTTATAGTATCAGGTTTTAGCGTGAATTCCAAGGGCTGGGTTTAATTGTGCATGAAGGGCTTACCCGTCCAGACTTGGTTCATGTGGTTTAGAGTTGGGGGCACTGCGTTAGGCTGGCTGTTTAGACCCGCATTGCCAACTGGGCTGCCTCAAATGGACACCCATTTTCTTGTTTTCAAAATTGAAAGTGATTAAACATGGTGGTTGTAGGTGAAAATATTTTAATAATATAATTAATATTAAAATTGTTAAAAAAAAAGTAGACGATCAGAGTTGAATATAATATACTTTTAGAGATTTTGGTTTTTTAATATTTTATTTTAGAAAAATTATAACATAAGTATTAAAGAAATTCAAATCGGGAATAATGGCAAATGCTTCAACTGCTATATATGATTTTTCAAACATTTTATGTGACAATCGAAGTACCTAGGAGGCCATTTTTTAAGCAACGACAGCTAGTTTATACATTTTAAGCGACAACTTTGTCCAAATATAAGACATGTCCATCAATCCCAAGCCCTTCCGAATCTCGGTTAGCCTCAACCGTTGATTGAGTCAAAAGAATGTCCCCTCACATTGATATTTTTAAAGATGGATTCTGTTTAGGATCGATTAAGATTGTCAATAATCAATTTCATGGATATTCAAACATTTTTAAATCATAAATGTAGATAATGGATCTAGGGATATTCCTGAAATTATTATATTGGCCATAGAAAAATGGCTCCATATTTGCAGTCCTAATGTTTTTCTTTCTTTCTTTATTTCAAATGTGGGACTTATTTGTTTCTAAATTGCTTGTATTGCAAGTTTGTGAGCAATATGAAGACATATGGCAACTGTATTAGTATACATAAAACAAGACAATGGAGATATAACCTGATGGAGATTTAAAATAAAAATGATAAATATCATAAACACGTAATAAATGAGGGTTCATTGAAAATATCCACATAAAAATACAAATGAACTTATATAAATAATCTGGTATATAATCTGTAACTGTCGTTTCTCATATATATATATATATGCATCTGTAAATAGATTTTTTCCCATTTTTTTTTTTCAAGGATTCACATATAAACCTTTCATTCTTTTCTTCTCACAACTATGAAAATGAAAGTTTGCTATTGGAATTCTAAAGTCCAACCAACTCTTTCTACACAATTTCTCTTCTTGTTTTATACATAACCAAGATTCTTAACCAGGATTGCATCAATGAACGAAATGCATTTCCTGTATACCATCTTCTTGTTTTGTATTCTTTCTTCAGGTTCTTCTGCTGACACCGAAGCTGAGACGGATCACTTGGCTTTGCTCTCCGTCAAGAAACATATAACATCCGACCCATATCAAATCATGCCTTTGTGGAATGACTCGATCCACTTCTGCAACTGGACATGTATTGTGTGTGGTCTACGCCACCAGAGAGTGGTCTCCCTCGATTTGGCATCTCGTGGCTTTTCTGGTTCAATATCACCTGCAGTTGGGAACCTGACGTTTCTAAGGGACCTAATCCTTCGCAACAATAGTTTCACAGGAAACGTTCCACAAGAAGTTGGCAGGTTATCAAGATTAAGGAGGCTACGCCTTTCGAACAATTCTCTGTCAGGTGAAATTCCTTCTAATATATCTCGGTGTCCAGATCTTGTAGAACTTGATCTGAGTAGGAACAACTTCATTGGTGTTATTCCTAACGAGTTTGAATCATTGACTAAGCTTATGTACATAGACCTCGGCTACAATGAACTAACAGGAGAAATACCCAAGTATATTGGAAACTTTACATCTCTTACAGTTATTTCTGGGTCGCGAAATAATTTCCAAGGAAACATTCCAGATACTCTAGGCCAATTGTCCAATTTGTGGTATTTCGGGTTCCCAGAGAATAACCTTTCGGGCATATTACCTCTCTCGTTTTTCAATATTTCATCCTTGAAGACAATAGATTTGCCAGACAATCAGATTGGTGGGAATCTGCCATCAGATATCGCACAAAGATTTTTGGGTCTAACGGTTCTAAACCTCCCAGTAAATAAAATTTCTGGACCCATTCCACCCTCATTGTCTAATGCTACTAATCTTGAACACCTAGCACTCGATGAAAATGCATTTACTGGAAGTGTGCCAAATTTTTCTAGGCTACAAAGATTGAGGTGGTTTCGAGTTAACATTAATCAACTTGGGAACGGGAAATCTGATAACTTAGACTTTGTATCCTCTTTGGCAAACTGTACCAACTTAACACGGTTGGGTTTCAGTTCCAACAATCTTGGAGGAGTCCTGCCAAGATCGGTATTTAATTTTACTCTACTTACTAGTTTCACAGTAGGGAGAAATTTCATTTCTGGAAATATCCCATATGAGATTGGGCAACTAGTTAATGTTAGGAGAGTGTTACTATCCTACAACCAATTCACCGGCAGAATTCCGGATTCAATTGGGAATCTCAGAAATATTGGGGAATTGTCTCTTGGGGATAACTTATTGTCAGGTTCTATACCGTCGTCATTGGGAAATCTCACCCTATTGAGCAGCCTCTCTTTAGATGGTAACAAACTAGAGGGTAATATACCATCTGGTTTATCAAACTGTAGGGGATTACAGCTTCTGGATCTTTCTAGAAATAATCTCAGTGGTCACATACCGAAAGAGATTTTTGGTTTATCTTCCTTGACAGTAGGCCTAGACCTTTCGGATAACCGTTTTGTGGGTTCTCTTCCTATCGAAGTAGGCGCCTTGCAGAATCTGGTTTTCTTTGATGTTTCAAACAACATGATCTCTGGGGTAATTCCAGTTAGTCTTGGAGCTTGCACGAGTTTGGTTGTATTAGCCATGGCTGGAAACACCATTGAAGGGGAAATTCCAACATCATTTCGCTCGTTGAGAGGTCTAGAAGCTCTTGATCTTTCCACCAACAATTTAACCGGGAGAATCCCCGAGTACCTTGGAGATTTTGTGTTTCTTGAAATCTTGAATTTATCTTTAAATGGTTTCGATGGAAAATTGCCAGAACTGGGAGCTTTTAGAAATGTAAGCATAGTTTCCATTTATGGAAATACTAAGCTTTGTGGTGGTTTACCAGAATTTCAGTTGCCAAAGTGTCCCATTGAAGAATCATCAAAGAAAAACCATGTTCATCTTTCCTTACTATTACTTATACCAATAGTTATTATGCTTTTTGTCCTAATTCTGGTTGTGATGTTTTGTTTGGTTTGCAAACAAAGATATAGCAAGAAGGCTTCGACAGAAATTAGTTCAGAAGATGAAAATTTCCCGCGAGTGTCTTATCAAAGCTTACACGAAGCAACAGATGGGTTTTCTTCGGCAAACTTGATAGGTTCTGGAAAGTTCAGTGCTGTGTGTAAGGCAATTCTGCATATGGAAAATGAACCACAAGTTGTCGCTGTGAAGGTACTAAAACTCGCGGTTCAGGGTGCTGACCGCAGTTTTATTGCAGAATGTGAAGCTTTGAGAAGCATCAGACACAGGAATCTTGTGAAAGTTCTAACTTGTTGTTCGTCTCTTGATTTTCAAGGGTACAATTTCAAGGCTCTTGTTTATTCTTATATGGCTAACGGGAGTTTGGAAGACTGGTTGCATCAGAATCCGGTCATTGGTCTAAACTTTTTACAGCGGTTGAACATTGTTATAGATCTTGCTGGGGCCCTCGATTATATTCATCGCCAGTGTGGTTCACTAATGATTCATTGTGATATCAAGCCTAGTAACGTTTTATTGGACACTGATTTGGTTTCCCATCTTAGTGATTTTGGGTTGGCTAGATTTCTTCATCACGATTCTTCTACAAGCCACACCAGTTCCCTAGGAATAAAAGGAACAATCGGATATGCGGCTCCCGGTAATTAATCTATCCATTCCATCTCTTTTTCCTTCTTAAGTTTGCTTAATTCACATAATCAATGAAGTACGTAAAGTTATGCATGTTCGATTTTTTCCTGTGTAAATTATGAAGAATACGGACTGGGAAGTAAGGTTTCAACCTATGGTGACATCTACAGCCTTGGAATCCTCATACTAGAGTTGTTTACCGGCAATCGTCCTACTGACGAAATGTTCAGCAACGGTCTAAGTCTTCATAGTTTTGTGAGGATGGCTATACCGGATCAAGTTACGGAGATAACTGATCCGGTCCTTTTCAGAACTACACAAGAGAAAAATAAGAGTAAAGATGCACATGATTGTGAAATGTACTGTGGAATCAAGGATTGTTTGTGTTCAGTTTATCGAATTGGGATTGCTTGCTCCATGGAAATACCCGGAGACCGGATAGAAATGAGCAATGTCTTGGATAAACTAGTGTTTGTCAAGAAAACTTTTCTTCAAGGATTTGGTAAAACGAAGATCTTTTGATATTATTGTAAATCATGCCGGTTGCATCATTAGAAGGTTGAATTTATCAGTTAAAGATTTGATCATGTATTTTTATGAAATAATGAGAAGCCTAAGTTAGCAACTCAAACCACATTTCAAGCTAAGCGATTCATCATCTAGTAAACCAGTGTGTGTGTGTATATGTATAAATATCGATTATTAATTTTTTTTGAATATGTAATTATTGAATATATATATATATATATATATATATGTGTGTGTGTGTGTGTGTGTGTGTGTGTGTGAGAACACATCAAATATATATCATATCTTCCAGTATTTTATGCAAAGATGGTGTTATGGATTTGGAGTTTTGCATAAGTGAACATCAACTTATCCTTGATGAAGCCTCTGTAACTTTGCGAAGCCATAAAAATGTTCAGAATCTGTTCTTCAAGGGATCATGTATTCCAAATATGAAATGTTAGAATTGTTTTTCTTGAAAATGAAGATTGATCCCGTTGATTCTACATATATACCCGGGAACAATTTCTTCTAAAGTTCGTTGATTCAATTAATACTGAACTTTAGGCTCCAAATCGGGTTCACAGGTACTCCAATTTGGGATGAAAATTGGAAGTCTTTGTATTCAAGGTATAACCATCCAGATTACACAAAAAAACATATAAATAAGATCCCAAACTCAAACCGGCCTAAAAAACGATCGGCCAAACATAAAAAGCCCAAATGAAAAATGTAAAAACATAGCAACAAACACAAGTTTTCAGAAACATGTTAAACGACATTTTGAGGCCTTCAAAATCCTATAATGGGGTCTACCCAGGACGTTCTCCTCATTTCAAGCTTAAAATAGACATATTACGGGCATGAAACGAAATCCATTAGCAAAAGTTATGCATGTTTAAACACCCTTTGTTAGCCCGATCATGGGTCTCAAGGAACGATAGTGCCTAGTCCTCCACGCCAACGCCTACATCAACCATTCATTTTGAATTTACAAAAAGACTATTTCAAATACGTATATGATGTTGTAGTCACAATTAAGTATACAAGTTTTTGCTGTAGTGGTTAGCTGCTATATGTGGTTAATGTTGCATGGCTGGTAGTAGGGACCAACATTATTATATTGGTCATTGAAAAATGGCTTAATATTTGCAGTCCCAAATGTTTCTTTTTTCTTTCTTTATTTGAAATGTTGGACTTATTGTTCCTAAATTGCTTGTATATTGTAAGTTAATGACAGAAACTTCCATGTAAACTAGAAACTATGAACTAAAGAAAGCAACATGAAGACACACACACACACACACACATATATACATGACAATGATATCAGTATAAAACAAAAGAATGGAGACAAAACTTGCTGGATTATATAATGAAAATGAAAGATAGATGTTCATACCATAGATTTATTTGTATTAAAAGATTAATTACCCGATAGATTGAGCCTATGTTGTGTTATTTAAGTAGAAAGTTTCCTTGTTTAATTCTAAACTCCAACCAGCTCTTTCTACATATAAACTTCTTATTTACTAGGATTGCAACAATGAACAGAAATGCGTTTCCTGATACAACATCATTCGTCCTATCTTGTTTCATTTTGTTTTGTACTCTTTCTTCAGTTTCTTATGGAGCAGAGACTGATCACTTGGCTTTGCTCTCGGTCAAGAAGCATATAACATCCGACCCATATCAAATCATGCCTTTATGGAATGACTCGATTCACTTCTGCAACTGGACAGGTATTGTGTGTGGTCGATGCCACGAGAGAGTGATCACCCTCAATTTCCATTCTCTGGGCCTTTCTGGTTCAATATCACCCTGTCGTTTCTTAGGGGGCTTCTTCTTCGCGACAATGGTTTCACAGGCAATATCCCACAAGAGGTTGGCAAGTTATCAAGATTAAGGAGGCTACGCCTTACGAACAATTCTATGTGAGGTGAAATTCCTTCTAACATATCTCAGTGTCCAAATCTTGTAGAACTTGATCTGAGTTCGAACAATTTCATTGGCGTTATTCCTAACAAGTTTGTATCATTGACTAAGCTTCAACACATAATCCTCCAATCCAATGAACTAACAGGAGAAATACTCAAGTTTATTGGAAACTTGATATCCCTCGAAGTTATTTCTGCAGCGGTAAATAATTTCCAAGGACACATTCCAGATACTCTAGGCCAATTGTCCAGTTTGTTCTTTTTCGGGCTCACAATGAATAACCTTTCGGGAATTTTTCCTACGTCGTTTTTCAATATTTCATCCATGACCACCATAGACTTGCCTTACAATCAGATTGGTGGGAGTCTGCCATCAGGTATCGCACAAAGATTTCCCAGACTAACAATTCTAAATCTTCCAAGAAATAAACTTTCTGGCCTCATTCCACTCTCGTTATCTAACGCCACTAATCTTGAACAACTAGTACTATTTGAAAATGCATTTACCGGAAGTGTGCCAGATTTTTCTGGGCTACAAAGATTGAAAGTATTTTCTGTTGAGAATGATACGTATTTTCTCCTGAATGGAAAATAATTTTTTCCATGATTTATTTAATATATCTTGTTGGCCATGCACATGAGGAGGAATTGGAAAGCAACTGCATTTTGGCATAAATTATGGAAGACTAATCGGAAGCAATTAATAGTGGAAGACAAAAAGTCTTCTAATATTTCGGTTATTATCTCAATTCATGGAGAATAGTTGTTTTACTTTCAAATATATATTCTCCATTCATTCATAAGAAAAAAAAAAGGTGTATTGAAGGAGAGCCAGAGAAGAGACGATAGAGAGATTGAGATACTTATAAACTCTTGTAACTTCCTCATTTTTCTCATATAGTGATATCATCGGTTGTGCCTGTGGTTTTTTCCCGCAAGGGTTTTTCCACGTAAAATCTTGGTGTTCTCGTTTTATTTCCTTTATTATCGTCGATTAAATATTACATTTTCGGTTACCTATAATCAACTTGGGAATGGGAAATCTTATAACCTAAACTTTGTATCATCTTTGGTAAACTGTACCAACTTAACATGGTTGGGTTTTGGGGGCAACAATCTTGGAGGAGTCTTGCCGAAATCAGTATTTAATTTTACTCTACTTACTGATCTCTTAGTAGGAATAAATTTGATTTCTGGAAATATCCCATCTGAGAATGGGCAACTAGTTAACATTGAAAGATTGTTTCTGAACTCCAACCGATTCACTGGTAGAATTCCAGATTCAATTGGGAATCTTAGAAATGTTGGAGTACTGTATCTCAGTGGAAACTTATTATCAGGTTCTATACCTTTGTCGTTGGGAAATCTCACCCTCTTGAACACTCTATCCTTAGGGAGTAACAAGCTAGAGGGTGCTTTACCATCTGATTTATCAAACTGTAGGGGATTACAGCTCCTGGATCTTTCAAGAAACAATCTCAGTGGTTATATACCAAATGGGATTTTTGGTCTATCTTCCTTGACAATATCCCTAGACCTTTCCAACAACCATTTTGTTGGTTCTCTTCCTACCGAAGTAGGGGTATTGCAGAATCTGGTCTCGTTAGATGTTTCAAACAACATGATTTCTGGGGTAATTCCGGTAAGTCTAGGATCTTGCACGAGTTTGGTTGCATTATCCATGGCAGGAAACACCATTGAAGGAGAAATTCCAACATCGTTTCGCTCGTTGAGAGGACTTGAAGTTCTAGATCTTTCCCGCAACAATTTAACCGGAAGAATCCCCGTGTACCTGGGAGATTTTTTGTGCACGAGTTTGGTTGCATTATCCATGGCAGGAAACACCATTTTTTGATGGAAAATTGCCAGAACTGGGAGCTTTTAAAAATGAAAGCACGGTTTTCATTTATGGAAATGCAAAGCTTTGTGGTGGTTTGCCGGAATTTCAGTTGCCCAAGTGCTCCAGCGAAGAATCATCAAAGAAAAACCAAATTCCTCTTGCCTTGCTAATAACTATACCAATAATTAGCGTCATTTTTGTCCTAATTTTGGTGGTTATATTGTGTTTTGTTTGCAAACGCAAAAAGGCTTCGACAGAAAATGGTTCAGAAGATGAAAATTTCCCACGAGTGTCATATCAAAGCTTGCATGAAGCAACAGATGGATTTTCTTCGGCAAACTTGATAGGTTCTGGAAAGTTCAGCACTGTGTATAAGGCGATTCTACATAAGAAAAATGAACCACAAGTTGTTGCTGTGAAGCTACTAAAACTCGCAGTTCATGGTGCTGAACGCAGTTTTATTGCAGAATGTGAAGCTCTGAGAAGCATTAGATGTTGGAAATTTGTAGGTTGGAAGTTAACCTTCCATCCCATATTGGTAGATAGTTTATTTCTAGAGAAGCTTATAAGGCTTTCTCTAGTAATGAGCTTTGAACATGTTAGTGGATTCATGGTGGGGGTCTTGAGTGGAAGTCTCAATAGGATTATCAGTTTAATGTGGATAATTATTAATTTTAATTTGAAATAAATCGGTTTTGAGATAATTATTAATTTTAATTTTGAAATAAATCGGTTTTGACTCGGTTTTCGGTTGAGACTTTTTCAAAACCCTATCTCCGAATTTGGAGAGATCCGTGGGCCAATTTTGTGGGCCTTATCTAGGGTTTCACCCAATATAAATATTGAGTGAAGCCGTATCATTAAATACACACGAAAACTACTTTTCCTCTGACGAAATTCTGCTCCCTACTCTTATTTCTCTCTACGGTTTGCTACATAAACCTTCTCTACATTCGTTGTGATTGTTGTTCACGAACGAATTTTCTACTGCATTCAATCCTGGGACTTTGCGACTAGCAGACTCACAATAGATAAAGAGTGGTCGTATAAAACCTTTAAGGACAGGTTTTTCCGTGCAGTTCATCATCCGAATCAACAGTATTTTACCAGGTTGGTTTTATAATTTTTGCATTGTATTTAAATTTCCATTCACTAAGTGAACAATCTGCTTCTACTTCTTTCTTTCCTTGAATCTATCGCGAATGATAGATTCAATCTGTGTGAATTGGCACGTATTGAGGTTTTTGGTGGGTCTGAATTCAACTGCAGTTGGGACTGCTTGTTCCATGGAAATACCCGGAGACCGGATAGAAATAAGTAATGCCTTGGATCAACTGCAGTTCGTGAAGAGAACTTTTCTTGAAGGCAGAGTAACTTAGCCTAAAGTACAAATCATCAAACATTCATAGTATACTTGGTACGTAAAAGGATGTGGTAAAACGAAGATCTTTTGATCTTAATGTAAATCATGCTGGTTTCATCATTAGAAGGTTGAATTTATCAATCAAGAATCAATTAGGCTTTTTTATGAAATAATAAGAAGCCTAAGTTAGCAACTCAAACTACATTGCAAGCTATACAATTCATCATCTCATAACATACGAAGTGAATTAGCATGCAGTTAATGGTGCTATCCAGAAAGTTAGCATCTTAAGCTTAAACTAACCTTAAGCAGCAACAATACTATCAAGAAAAATGTAGCCAACAAAGACTAACTCTTTGCAAATTTCAAAAAGTGGACTGATTGTCGTTGTGGTGATGATGATATGAGTAAAGAGGTCAGTTTGTACCAAATAAAGGCAACTATCAGAAATGAAAGGGACATCAATTTTCTCCATATTATTTCGAGTGAACAAAGAAAGATTAGCCAAAAAATACCTCGAAGATCAAGCTCCCAAGACATGATTAAGGTTTTGCAGTTCATTAAAGATGCATTTAACACACGGGAAATACCTGAGCTCATGACAAATAACAGCCGATGAGTGTTTACAATATTGATGGCAAGTACAAAAAGATGCAACAAGTTCAATCAATGTAAACCATAATCCCTGATTTTTTAAAGTTATATTTGATAAGCATTTGATTTATCCTGGGGGAAGGAAAGGAGCCATGTTTCTTTTTTCTTTTCTTTTTTATTATAGAAATTGTACTCGTAAGTAGATTATTGAAACCATAATCTCTATTAATTGTCCATTTGTCCTACTTACAAATTAAAGGGAATCACCTTCGCTGAAAGTGTTAGTAGGTCCTGATCATGAGCAGCTAACGGATGAGCAAGATCAACCTGCAAGAGCCAGCCAATTAATTCCATTCTATAGTAAATAAATGGGAAATCAATGGAAATCTAGTATTCCGATACCATATCATTTCGATTAAAAAGAATAAAAAAACAAGTCACCACAAAAACTCTCATTCAAAACTTTGATCGAACACTTGGTGTTCATCAAAAAGTAAAGAAATTTAACACAAGAATTCTTAGAAATCAAACACAAAACTAACAAAAGCAATATAATCAAAGAAATTTAACACATTTAGCCAATCTGAATCTCATTGTAAATCATCCTGGTTTGCATCACTAGAAGGTTGAATTTATCAATTAACAAACTTCAAAGAACCCACCATACCAATTCCCTTCTTCTTTCAATCAAATAGCAAGCTTGGTCTCTTCAGGCCCAGATTAACAAGCTTGGGCTCTTCAGGCCCAGATTACCAATTGGGCTGACTCAAACGGACACCCACTTTTTTCTTGCTAGTCCACTTTAAATATTTAATACAATTATTTAATCCTTTTAGGGAGTTAATATAGATATTTTGTGTTTTTAGCTTCCCAAAGTAATTTGAGTAGGAATTATCGGAGTTATGCTATGCAACAATGTCGAACTTTGAAAGTAACACATTAATGTTCTGGTTGATGTTATTTACAATTTTTTTATAAGTTATTTAAAACTATGTTTGCAAACTCGCTAGTAGGCTAACTATTAGCTTATATATTAGCTGATTATAAGATAACTGTTAACTGATAAGCTAGCTGATGAACAAATCACATTTGACAAAACCTAACTGATAACCTAGATGAGAAATGCAAAATAACCAAAAATGACATCTTGAAGAATTAGTCAATTACAAAATTTTATAATACAATTAAAACAAATCCATAATAATATAATCTGTTAATTAATATAGACAAGATAGTAAAGAAAAAATTAAATAATATAAAATATTAATTAAAATAATTTCAAATCGATTATTATTATCAATACGAATGATCGTGTGAGAAGAGAAGTTATAGTGAAAAACGTAAGAAAAGATATGAATCATTGATCACTTTTAATCTAATGTCCATCAATTAATTGTGCTTTTAAAGAGAATTGATCTGGTGCATCTCAGTTCACCTCATTAATGTAGATATTCAATTAAAATGGTGTTATCGATTTGGAGTTTTGCATAAGTTAACATCAACTTGCCGATAAGTATACTAAATATGATCCTTGATGAAGCCTCGTATCGTATCTTTGTGAATCTATAAAAAGATGCTCGTTATTCGTTCGTCAAAGGATCGTGTATTCCAAATTTATGAGAAATGTTTTAATAATACTTAATTCAGCAAGTAAATAGACATTTTTTGTTCCTAAATTGCTTGTATTCTAAGTTAATGACAAGAACTTCCATGTAAACTAGAAACTATGAACACAACATGAAGACATATGGCAATGATATTAGTGTAAAACAAAAGAATGGAGACAAAACTTGTTGGATTATATATGAAAATGAAATATTGATGTTCATAGCGTAGATTTAGTCGTATTAAAGAATTAATTACCGAACAGATTGAACTTCTGGATCGTGTTATTTAAGTAGAAAGTTTCATTGTTTAATTCAACATAAGTTCTCTTCTTGTTTTATACTAAAAACCAAGACATCAATACCAGGATTGCATTAAGGGAACGAAAATGTGTTTCCTGTATACAATATCGTCTATCGTCCTTTCTTGTATCTTCTTGCTTTGTCTTCTTTCTTCGGTTTCTTTTGGAGATGAGACGGATCACTTGGCTTTGCTCTCGTTCAAGAAACATATAACATCCGACCCACATCAAATCATGCCTTTGTGGAACGACTCGATTCACTTCTGCAACTGGACAGGTATCGTGTGTGGTCAGCGCCACAGGAGAGTTGTCATCCTTGATTTGCCTTCTCTTGACTTTTCTGGTTCAATATCACCTGCAGTTGGGAACATGACATTCATTAGGAGGCTTATCCTAGACAACAATGGTTTAACAGGAAACATCCCACAAGAGGTTGGCAGGTTATCAAGATTAAGGTGGCTATTACTTTCGAACAATTCTCTGTCAGGTGAAATTCCATCTAATATATCTCGGTGTCTAAATCTTGTACACCTATATCTGGGTGGGAACAATTTCACTGGTGTTATTCCTAACGAGTTCGAATCATTGACTAAGCTTCAAAACGTAATCCTCCACTACAATGAACTAACAGGAGAAATACCCAAGTTTATTGGAAACTTTACGTCCCTTGAAGTTATTTCTGGAGCTGGAAATCATTTCCATGGAAACATTCCAGATACTCTAGGTCAATTGTCCAATTTGTTCTTTTTTGGGTTTGCAGAGAGTAACCTTTCGGGAATTTTACCTCTGTCGTTTTTCAATATTTCATCCTTGACGACCATAGATTTGCTTGGCAATCAGATTGGGGGGGAACTGCCATCAGATATCGCACAAAAGTTTCTAGGACTAAATTTACTAAACCTTCCAAAAAATAAGTTTTCTGGACCAATTCCAATCTCGTTATCTAATGCCACGAATCTTGAACACCTAGCACTCGATGAAAACGCATTTACTGGAAGTGTGCCGAATTTTTATGGGCTACAAAGATTGAGGCATTTTGCTGTTAATGCTAATCAACTTGGGAATGGGAAATCTGATAACTTAAACTTTGTCTCCTCTTTGACAAACTGTACCAAAATAATACGGTTGGGTTTCGGTGAAAACAATCTTGGAGGAGTCTTGCCAAAATCAGTATCTAACTTTACTCTACTTACAGAACTCACAGTAGAAGTAAACTTGATTTCTGGAAATATCCCATCTGAGATTGGGCAACTAGTTAACCTCCGGAGATTGTTTCTGTCCTACAACCAATTCATGGGCAGAATTCCGGATTCAATTGGGAATCTCAGAAATCTCGGAGTCTTAGATCTTAGTGAAAACTTATTATCAGGTTCTATACCGTCGTCATTTGGAAATCTCACACTATTGAGCAGGCTCTACTTAGAGGTTAACAAACTAGAGGGTGTTGTACCATCTGGTTTATCAAACTGTAAGGGATTACAGCTTCTGGATCTTTCTACAAATAATCTAAGTGGTTACGTACCCAAAGGAATTTTTGGTCTATCTTCCTTGACAATTTCCCTAAATCTTTCCAACAACCATTTTGTGGGTTCTCTTCCTACCGAAGTAGGCGCCTTGCAGAATCTGGTAGCCTTGGATGTTTCAAACAATATGATCTCTGGGGTAATTCCATTTATTCTTGGAACTTGCACGAGTTTGGTTGCATTATCCATCGCAGGGAACACCATTGAAGGAGAAATTCCAACATCATTTAGCTTGTTGAGAGGACTAGAAGTACTCGACCTTTCCCGCAACAATTTAACTGGGAGAATCCCCGAGTACCTGGGAGATTTTGTGTTTTTCGAAACCTTAAATTTATCTGTAAATGGTTTTGATGGAAATTTGCCGGTACAAGGAGCTTTCAAAAATGCAAGCACGGTTTCCATCTATGGAAATGCAAAGCTTTGTGGTGGTTTACCCGAATTTCAGTTGCCCAAGTGTTCCCTTGAAGAATCATCAAAGAAATCCCAGTTTCCTCTATTCTTGATGATAATTATACCAATAATTAGCGTSRTWTTTGTCCTAATTTTGGTGGTTATATTGTGTTTTGTTTGCAAACGCAAAAAGGCTTCGACAGAAAATGGTTCAGAAGATGAAAATTTCCCACGAGTGTCATATCAAAGCTTACATGAAGCGACAGATGGGTTTTCTTCGGCAAACTTGATAGGTTCTGGAAAATTCAGCACTGTGTATAAGGCGATTCTGCATATGAAAAATGAACCACAAGTTGTAGCTGTGAAGGTACTAAAACTTGCAGTTCAAGGTGCTGACCGTAGTTTTATTGCAGAATGTGAAGCTTTGAGAATCATCAGACATAGGAATCTTGTGAAAGTCGTAACTGCTTGTTCGTCTCTTGATTTTCAAGGGAACGATTTCAAGGCTCTTGTTTATTCTTATATGGTCAATGGGAGTTTGGAAGACTGGTTGCATCAGAATCCGGTTGTTGGTCTAAACTTTTTACAGCGGTTGAACATCGTGATAGATCTCTCTGGGGCCCTCGATTATATTCATCGCCAGTGTGGTACATTGATGATTCATTGTGATATCAAGCCCAGTAATGTTTTATTGGACACTGAATTGGTTGCTCATCTTAGTGATTTCGGGTTGGCTAGATTTGTTCATCCTGATTCTTCTACAAGCCACACCAGTTCTCTTGGAATAAAAGGAACAATCGGATATGCGGCTCCTGGTAATTAATCTATCTTCCTAATTCACATAATCAATGATCTAAAATTATTCATGTTCGATTTCTTCTTGTCTAAACTATGCAGAATATGGAATGGGAAGTAAGGTGTCAACTTATGGCGACGTCTACAGCTTTGGAATCCTCATACTGGAGTTGTTTACCGGCAATCGTCCTACTGACGAAATGTTCAGTAACGGTCTTAGTCTTCATGGTTTTGTGAAGATGTCTATACCGGATCGAGTTACGGAGATAACTGATCCGGTCCTTTTCAAAACTAGACAAGAGGAAAATATGGCTACAGATGCACGTGATTGTGAAATGTATCGTCCAATCGAGGAGTTCTTGACTTCTGTTTATGGAATTGGGACCGCTTGCTCCATGGAAATACCTGGAGACCGGATAGAAATAAGCAATGCGTTGGATCAACTGCAATCCGTCAAGAAAACTTTTCTTAAAGGCAGAGTATCTATACTTTAATAATACTTAATTCAACAAGTAAATAGACATTTTTTGTCTCTTGAAAATGAAGACTTTGTGTGTCTATCTATACTATATTATAAAGCATTTGACAAAAACTCTTAAAAACAATTTTTTATTTATGAAGTACTGTTTATTGATGCATATTACTTGAAATTCAATATTACAAGTAAATTGTGCGTAAGTACAACTTCTTAAAGTTTTTTTTTTAAATTTGTGTAACTAACTGCAGATAAACATAATTAAATACATGATAAACACCTCATTTTAAATATAAAAAATCAAAATATAGTTAAGATAATCATTGAGTTTTAACATAATACTTAATTATCATCCTTATAAAAATTATATTATTAAACAAAAATAAATTACTTTGTTATTAAATCTAAATTGAATTACAATAAAAATTTGAATTAAAAGAAATTACATAAAAAACGAGAACTTTTAAATAGTTAATTTAATACTAATATCGACACATTTTTTTCAAATTTATATCTCGTTCAAAAATAAAGATATCATCATTTTCTAAAACTACGTAAAACTGTATTATATAGACATAGAAAATGAATAAAATGAAATATTAAAATCCAGATTATCTCGTAGCATTACGTGAGTTTTCATCCTTTTTGGTATACAAGTAATTCTATTTTTGTTCCTGTACCTTACAATTCCTTGATGTCAATTTTCATCATTGTCGTTTACATTTCATTGTTTTATTCATTCCCTTATACTTGATGAAGTTAGTCTCATGGACAAAAACAACAATGAATTGCAAACCACAGTCCGCATGTAATTTACTCAAAATTAAATATGGATTTCTAATTCCTTTTCAAATATATTATTCATTACCAACTTCCAAAAAAGAATATTCAACTTTGAAATACATAACACGAAATAATTGTAAACAAGATCCAAATAAATAATAAACTTTGGGATCTTTACATTGGATTTGTTTATCGATAATTGTTCTACTGACGAAATGTTCAGTAACGATCTGGGTCTTCATGGATTTGTGAAGATGGCAATACTAGACCAAATTATGGAGATAACTGATTTGGTCCTTTTCAAAACTAGACGAGAGGTAAATATGGCTACAGGTGCACGTGATTGCGAAATGTACGGTCCAATCAAATTGGGAGTGTTTGTTCCACGGAAATGAATATTGTCTTGGATCAAGTGCAATTATTGTCAAGATCTTTCGATCTCGTTGTCAATTGTGATGGAAAAGCATGTATATAAAGTATAAAAACTTGTACCTCTTAATTTCTAACGATAATTGCTTTTGATATTTTATATAAACCTAAAAGATAAAGATAAAGTTAAAGTTAAAGTTAAAGTTAAAGCTAAAGCCAAAGATAAAGATAAAAAGAAAGGAGTTTTTCAATTTTTTGAGGTTTTCTTATAAACCTCGTTCTGTATATGTATATGTATATGTAGAAGGAGGTTCAGAGAAAAACCCTAAAAAATGAAAAACTGAGGAAGTTAACTATTAATCTGGACAGTATACATATGTGCATACATGTAATAGAAGTTGTTTTTGGTTTTATACATGTGTACATGCTTATGCACATGTGCAAACCAGACAAGTTGTTTCCAAATTACTTGTATGCACATATGCATAATGTCTAAATGAACGGTTATTAGGGTGTTCTTCAGTTTTTATTTTTTTGCGGTTTTCCGTTAACCTGACCCAATATATACATGTATATGAGATCAAAGAATGGGCTGGTGTTTTAGAAGGTTATCACATATGGTGGCTGCATACCTTGAACATGTCTCCTAAGCATCAACATGCATGTGATTTTTGACTGTTATATATGGGTAAAATGTTCACAACTAGCTATTTCATATACTATTTTTCAGAACATTTTCAATAGTACTTAATTTGTTGGTTATAAATGACTGTTTGATGGTGACTTAATAATATAGAAAATGACTTATTCAGCAACCTTTTAAGGGAAACTCTATGCAAATAAGATTGAATCTGTGGATTAATTGTGTTATTTAATCAACTAGAAAGTTTCATTATTTCATTCAATTCTAAAGTCTAGCCAACTCTTTCATTCAATTCAATTCCAGGATTTCATCCATGAACGAAATGCGTTTCCTGTATACAATATCGTCTAACGTCCTTTCTTGTATCTTCTTGTTTTGTATTATTTCTTCGGTTTCTTCTGGAGATGAAACGGATCACTTGGCTTTACTCTCAATCAAGAAACATATAACATCTGACCCGTATCAAATCATGCCTTTGTGGAATGATTCGATCCACTTCTGCAACTGGACAGGCATTGTATGTGGTCTACGCCACCGTAGAGTTGTGACCCTCAGTTTGTTGTCTGGTGGCTTTTCTGGTTCAATATCACCTGCAGTTGGGAACCTGACGTTTCTTAGGGAGCTTCTTCTTCACAACAATGGTTTCAAAGGCAACGTCCCTCAAGAGGTTGGTAGGTTAACAAGATTATGGAGGCTAAATCTTTCGAACAATTCTCTGTCAGGTGAAATTCCTTCTAATATCTCTCGGTGTTCTAATCTTGTAGAACTTGATTTGAGTGACAACAGTTTCATTGGCGTTATTCCTAACGAGTTTGATTCATTAACTAATCTTCAACGCATATCACTCGATTCCAATGAACTAACAGGAGAAATACCCAAGTTTATTGGAAATTTTACATCCCTTGCCTTACTTTCTGGTAGGGATAATCATTTCCAAGGAAACATTCCAGATACTTTTGGCCAATTGTCCAGTTTGTTCTTTTTCGGGTTCGCAATGAATAACCTTTCGGGCATTTTACCTTTGTCGTTTTTCAATATTTCATCCTTGACGACCATAGCTTTGCCTGTGAATCGGATTGGCGGGAATCTGCCATCAGATATTGCACAAAGATTTCTCAGACTAAAAGTTCTAAACCTTGCAATGAATAGATTTTCTGGACCCATTCCACTATCGTTATCTAATGCCACTAATCTTGAACACCTAGCACTCAATGAAAATATGTTTACTGGAAGTGTGCCGAGTTTTTCGAGGCTGCAAGCATTGACGCATTTCGGACTTAACTATAATCAACTGGGGAATGGGAGATCTGATAACTTAAACTTTGTCTCCTCTTTGGCAAACTGTACCAACTTAAGAAGGTTAGGTTTCGGTAACAACAATCTTGGAGGTGTCTTGCCACGATCAATATCTAATTTTACTCTACTTACTGATCTCTTAATAGGAACAAATTTGATTTCTGGGAATATCCCATATGAGATTGGGCAACTAGTTAAGGTTAAAAGAATGTATCTATCCCACAACCAATTCATCGGCAGAATTCCGGATTCAATTGGGAATCTCAGAAATCTCGGAGTATTGTCTTTCAGGGATAACTTAATTTCTGGTGGCATACCGTCGTCAATGGGAAATCTCACCCTTTTGAGCAAACTCCGAATATCCCGTAACAGACTAGAGGGTACTGTACCATCTGGTTTATCAAACTGTACGGGGTTACAGGCTCTGGATCTTTCTAGAAATAATCTCAGTGGTTATATACCAAAAGGCATTTTTGGTCTATCTTCTTTGACAATACGCCTAGACCTTTCTGACAACCGTTTTGTGGGTTCTCTTCCTATCGAAGTAGGAGCCTTGAAGAATCTGGTTTTCTTTGATGTTTCAAACAACATGATGTCTGGGGTAATTCCAGTTAGTCTTGGAACTTGCACGAGTTTGGTTAGATTATACATGGAGGGAAACACCATTGAAGGAGAAATTCCAACATCATTTCGCTCTTTGAGAGGATTAGAAGTTCTAGATCTTTCCCGCAACAATTTAACCGGGAGAATCCCTGAGTACCTGGGAGATTTTGTGTTTTTCAGACGCTTGAATTTATCTTTAAATGGTTTTGACGGAAAATTGCCAGGGCTCGGAGCTTTTAAAAATGCAAGCATAGTTTCCATTTATGGAAATCGTCAGCTTTGTGGCGGATCTCCCCAATTTCAGTTGCCGAAGTGTTCTGTTGAAGAATCATCAAAGAAAAACAAGCTTCCGCTTTTCTTGCTGATAATTATACCAATAATTGGTGTGGTTTTTGTCCTAATTTTGGTGGTTATATTGTGTTTTCTTTGCAAACGCAAGCAGGCTTCGACAGAGATTAGTTCAGAAGATGAAAACTTCCCGCGAGTGTCTTATCAAAGCTTACACGAGGCAACAAATGGGTTTTCATCGGAAAACTTGATAGGTTCTGGAAAGTTCAGCACGGTGTATAAGGCAATTCTGCATACAAAAAATGAACCACGACTTGTCGCTGTGAAGGTACTAAAGCTCGCAGTTCATGGTGCTGACCGCAGTTTTATTGCGGAATGTGAAGCTTTGAGAAGCATCAGACACAGGAATCTAGTGAAAGTCGTAACTTCTTGTTCGTCTATTGATTATCAAGGGAACGATTTCAAGGCTCTTGTTTATTCTTATATGATTAATGGAAGTTTGGAAGACTGGTTGCATCAGAATTCGGTCGTTGGTCTAAACTTTTTACAGCGGCTGAACATCGTGATAGATCTGGCTGGGGCCCTCGATTATATTCATCGCCAGTGTGGATCGCTAATGATTCATTGTGATATCAAGCCTAGTAACGTTTTATTGGACGGTGATATGGTTGCTCATCTTGGTGATTTCGGGTTGGCAAGATTTGTTCATCATGATTCTTCTACAAACCACACCAGTTCTCTTGGAATAAAAGGAACAATCGGATACGCGGCTCCAGGTAATTAATCTATCTTCTTAATTCACATAATCAATGATTTAAAGTTATTCATGTTTGATTGCTTCGAGCATAAACTATGCAGAATACGGAATGGGAAGTAAGGTGTCAACCTATGGCGACGTCTACAGCTTTGGAATCCTCATACTGGAGTTATTTACCGGCAATCGTCCTACTGACGAAATGTTCAGTAACGGTCTGAGTCTTCATGGTTTTGTGAAGATGGCTATACCGGATCAAGTTATGGAGATAACTGATCCGGTTCTTTTCAAAACTAGACAAGAGGAAAATATGACTACAGATGCACGTGATTTCGAAACGTATGGTCCAATCGAGGTTTGTTTGACTTATGTTTATCGAATTGGGACTGCTTGCTCCATGGAATTACCAAGAGACCGGATAGAAATGAGCAATGTCTTGGATCAGCTGCAGTTGGTCAAGAAAACTTTTCTTGAAGATTGCTAAGAAAAATGATTTAGTAAAATCAAGATCTTTTGATCTCATTGTAAATCATGCTGGTTTTGCATTAGAAGTTCTAAGTTTCATACTATATATATCATTATCCGACGAATTTGTACATATATAAACAAGATTATGTTATGACGGGTGTCGAGTCCGGCAAATAATAAAATTTATGAAATAAGCCTATTATCTCTAAAACACACTTGTAAAGTGATAAGTAGGGTCGTCTCCTCAGGGACTCGGTGTTAACCGTAAGTCCAAGACGTAAATGTGTGCAAATTCATTGACTATAAAACACTATATATAAAAAAAGGGGGGGGGGGGTTGGAAGATATATAAATAGCCTAAACATGCAAAATAAATTAGGAACTTTAAACAATAATAAGAACGAGACTGGTAATGAGCATCAATCAACTAATCCTTTGGATTATATATCATCGACTCATTTAATCCATTTTCTCAAAAGAAACCAAGTTGGTTAGGATATCGACACGCGTCAATATTCTGTTCGTTATAAAAGCATGATCAGTCTCGAACGCTCTACGACTAACCTCTAATTWGCTAATCAAACCTAGTCACGKACTTAGAATTTAATTGCCAATTGCATTAACGTCAAACAAACCCAACACTAACCGACAATCGGACGCCGATTGTTTAGATTAGTTTACACGATCTTACAACATCATCATTTAACATAAATGTCAACTGTGTGTCGTGTGCTACTTCAATAAACCGAAAAGCAATTACGGACTTAAAGGTTTATCTAGCAACTCGAAATTGAATTAGACATAACAAGGGATCCTACTCAAAATATCCAACTCAAAACGATAAACATTCGACTCTAAAATCGCATAAATAGCTTCAAATAATATTAAAATTGACGTGAGTCTCAACAAATCCAAATTCAAAGTGACCACATACCCATTACTAGAAATAACAAAATTAGCTACTCATACTTAGAACTAAAAAGAATTTACAAAATGACATTTAAGAATTAGTGAAGAAACCTGGAATTTGTCTTCAAAATCGCCACCCAATATCTAGAAATAGGTTTACTGTTTCTTCAAGAATCCAGTCCTGATCAATCTTTTTGAAAAATCTCAATTAGTCCTCTAATCCCCGTCTTGATTTCTGGCCTACTCAAAACAGCTTCTGCCTCTACTTTCCGATTAATCCCAATCGAACAGACCCCTTGCTGCCCACTCGGTGACAGCCTCTCCAAGTCGATCGACTGCTGCTCGATTTACCTGCTCCCGGCTGCTGCCTTCAACCGAACAGCCCTTTATCTCTCGATGACAGCCCTCTCGATCGACTCCTTTCTTCAATTGACAGCCCTTCTCCTTGATTTCCCCTCGATTTCCCTCTCGATTTCTCTCGCGACAATCCACCAGGTCGCTGCCGTCCTCTCGATGACAGCCCCTTTTCTGTCGATTTCTCTCCTTCTTCTCTCCTTCAACGCGACCAATCTTCTTCTCTTCGACGGCTTGCTGCTGTCCTCTTTAATTGCTCCCATCTTTGCCCACGATCTTCCTCGAACTCRCCCACGATCTCCCGATCTGCTGCTCCTTCTCCCGAACTCTCGCTGCACACGTCTCTCTCTCTCTCTCTCTCTGCCGATTTCAGGACTGGGCAGCAACTTGGGCTGCTTTTTCCTCCTTCTCATTGCTGCTGGTCTGGGCTTAGAGATGATGAGACAAAAAAAACACAACAATCAATTTTTCTCTATTTTTCTTAAACTTAAATGGCCTCGTAAGATTAAATATCATCTTAAATTAAAACGGACATTTTAGGCATCTAATTGACATTAATCTCAAGGTAATTTTGACGTAAAAATATATATATATTTGTACTTGTCATGTTACGTTAACGTTTACATACAATGGACCAAGTTTGTATATATATATTCACCATTATTTATGCCACAAGTCTGGTGGATTAATTACTAAAGTTTCTTAATAGATACGTTCAATTTTGTGTGATGCAATCAGCAGTTGATCGAAGAAACGTTTTCTTGACAAACTGCAGTTGATCGAAGGCATGGTTCATGTCTATCCGGTCTCTGGGTGATTCCATGGAGCAAGCAGTCCCAATTCGATAAACAGAAGTCAAACAATCCTCGTTTGGACCGCACATGTCACAATTGCGTGCGTCTGTAGCCATATTTTCATCTTGTCTAGTTTTGAAAAGGGCCGGATCAGTTATCTCCATAACTTGATCCGGTATAGCCATCTTCACAAAACCATGAAGACTCAAACCGTTACTGAACATTTCGTCAGTAGGACGAATGCCGGTAAACAACTCCAGTATGAGGATTCCAAAGCTGTGGATGTCGCCATATGTCGACACCTCATTTCCCATTCCGTATTCTGCATAGTTTACACACAAAGAAATCAAACATGAATAACTTTACTTTATTATTGATGTGAATTAGCTAGAACGATAGATTAATTACCAGGAGCCGCGTATCCGATTGTTCCTTTTATTCCAAGAGAACTGGTGTGGCTTGTAGAAGAATCAGGATGAACAAATCTTGCCAACCCGAAATCACTAAGATGAGCAACCAAATCAGCGTCTAATAAAACGTTACTAGGCTTGATATCACAATGAATCATTAGTGATCCACTCTGACGGTGAATGTAATCGAGGGCTCCAGCCAGATCTATCACGATGTTCAACCGCTGTAAAAAGTTCAAACCAACGACCGGATTCTGATGCAACCGGTCTTCCAAACTCCCATTGACCATATAAGAATAAACAAGAGCCTTGAAATCGTTCCCTTGAAAATCAAGAGACGAACAACAAGTTAGGACTTTCACTAGATTCCTGTGTCTGATGCTTCTCAATGCTTCACATTCTGCAATAAAACTCCGGTCAGCACCACGAACTGCAAGTTTTAGTACCTTCACAGCGACAACTTGTGGTTCATTTTCCATATGTAGAATCGCCTTATACACAGAACTGAACTTTCCAGAACCTATCAAGTTTGCCGAAGAAAACCCATCTGTTGCTTCGTGTAAGCTTTGATAAGACACTCGCGGGAAATTTTCATCTTCTGAACTAATCTCTGCCGAAACCTTCTTGCGTTTGTAAACCAAACAAAATATAACCACCAGAATTATAACAAAAACCACGCTAATTATTGGTATAATTATCATCAAGAAAAGAGGAAACTGGGCTTTCTTTGATGATTCTTCAAGGGAACACTTTGGCAACTGAAATTCAGGAGAACCGCCACAAAGCTTACCATTTCCATAAACGGAAACTATGCTTGCATTTTTAAAAGCTCCAAGTTCTGGCAAATTTCCGTCGAAACCATTAAAAGAGAAATTTAAGCGTCTGAAAAACACAAAATCTCCCAGGTACTCGGGGATTCTCCCGGTTAAATTGTTGCGGGAAAGATCTAGAACTTCTAGTCCTCTCAACGAGCGAAACGAAGATGGAATTTCTCCTTCAATGGCGTTTCCCTCCATGTATAATCCAACCAAACTCGTGCAAGTTCCAAGACTTACCGGAATTACCCCGAAAATCATGTTGTTAGAAACATCTAACGCAACCAGATTCTGCAATACGCCTACTTCAGTAGGCAGAGAACCAACAAAACGGTTGTCAGAAAGGTCTAGGTATACTGTCAAGGAAGATAGACCAAAAATCCCTTTGGGTATGTAACCACTGAGATTATTTTTGGAAAGATCTAGTAATTGTAATTCCCTACAGTTTGATAACTCCGATGGTACGGTACCCTCTAGCTTGTTACGCTGTAAGTAGAGCCTGCTTAGTAGGGTGAGATTTCCCAATGATGATGGTATAGAACCGGATAATAAGTTTCCGTTGAGACCCATTGCTCCAAGATTTCTAAGATTCCCAATTGAATCCGGAATTCTACCGGTAAATTGGTTGGAGAATAGAAACAATCTTCTAACGTTAACTAGTTGCCCGATCTCAGACGGGATGTTACCAGAAATCAAGTTTCCTCCTACTGTTAGATCAGTAAGTAGAGTAAAATTAAACATTGATTTCGGCAAGACTCCTCCAAGATTGTTGGCACCGAAACCCAACCCTATTAAGTTGGTACAGTTTGCCAAAGAGGATACAAAGTTTAAGTTATCAGATTTCCCATTCCCTAGTTGATTAACGTTAACTGCAAAATGCCTCAATCTTTGTAGCCTAGAAAAACTCGGCACACTTCCGGTAAACATATTTTCATTGAGTGCTAGGCGTTCAAGACTAGTGGCATTCGATAACGAGAGCGGGATGGATCCAGAAAATTTATTTATTGGAAGGTTTAGATTTATTAATCTAGGAAATCTTTGTGCGATATCTGATGGTAGATTCCCGCCAATCTGATTGTCGGGCAAATCTATGTTTGTCAAGGATGAGATATTGAAAAACGATAATGGTAAAATGCCCGAAAGGTTATTCAATGCGAATCCGAAAAACCACAAATTGGACAATCGGCCTAGAGTATCTGGAATGTTTCCTTGGAAATTATTTCCCAATCCAGAAATAAAGGCAAGGGATGTAAAGTTTCCAATAAACTTGGGTATTTCTCCTGTTAGTTCATTGGAGTGGAGGTTTATATGTTGAAGCTTAGTTAATGATTCGAACTCGTTAGGAACAATACCGGTGAAGTTGTTCGCACTTAGATCGAGTTCTATAAGATTTGGACACCGAGATATATTAGAAGGAATTTCACCTGACAGAGAATTGTTCGAAAGTCCTAGCCTCGTTAATCTTGACAACCTGCCAACTTCCGGTGGGACGTTTCCGGTGAAACTATTGTTGTGAAGAAGAAGCTCCCTAAGAAACGATAGGTTCCCGATCGCAGGTGGTATTGAACCAGCAAAGCCACCAGACCACAAATTGAGGGTGACCACTCTCTGGTGGCGTAAACCACACACAATACCCGTCCAGTTGCAGAAGTGGATCGAGTCATTCCATGAAGGCATGATTTGATATGGGTCGGTTGTTATATGTTTCTTGACCGAGAGCAAAGCCAAGTGATCCGTCTCACCTCCAGTATTGTCGGCAGAAGAAACTGACGAAAGATTAGAAAACAAGATGATACAAGAAAGGACGATAGACGATATTGTATACGTGAAACGCATTTCGTTCATCGACGCACTCTTGGTAAAGAACCTTTTTTATATAACATGAAGAGAAATTAGATGAAACAAGAAATCATTCTAGTTAAAGAACACAATCTAGAGGTTTAATCTGTTGGGTGTGTTTTTAATAGGAATAAAACACGGGTATATATGAACACCATTATTATAAGCTTTCATTTTCATAGTCTAGCAAGTTTTGAGTGCAATCATACCAACACTAATCCACTTGACCCCATTAGATTTTCCACTAACTCTTTCTCTTGTTTTCCACAAATATCATTGCCATGTGTCTTCATGTTCACACTTTCAAATTTAATAAATGATTCAAGACTTTTCAGGAATAACAACATTTTGGGTCGTTTACTAAACGCTTATCCGGTAAGTGTTTATCGGACCATTTTTCTCACCGGATTTACATGGCAAGGGCCAAGAATCTTATCTGGTAAGAACGATAATTATGATGGACAGTGAGGGTGACGACTCTTACCCGGGTAAGTGCTTACCGGGTAAATTGTTGCATAGGATACTATTTTAATGTACTACAATCTTATACGATAAAAACAAAATTATACTGTTGATTTCTACTAGTAAACACTTACCAAGTAAGCATTTGGGTAAACGTCCCCTTTGTGAATGTTGTCATGTTGGTATTTTTGACTTAGACGGAAAAAGGGATTGTTAAAGAATACAAAACCATCATTTGTTTTTGTTGCAAGCAACAATTAATTAGTTAATTTTAGAGTATTTCAGTTATGTCTGCATTAATCTCAGTAAATTTGACTATAAGACATCAACCCTGATAAATTTGGTGACCACAATTTTTGTGGACGCCTAAAATCGACCCATGACAAATGTGATATTCCATCACATTCCCATGGACTTCAACTACTATGTCACAAATGAAGAAAGCAATAAACTTTGCAAGAGTCAATGATTCTTAAGATTTTGTTTTCCCATTTCGTAATTTGTCCAAAATCGCTAGCAAATTGATGTGAGCCTAGGCGTGGAGAACCGGGTCTTATTGTTCCTAGAAGCCCATGACCACTGCAACAAAATGGGGTTTATAGGACACTCCTAATTTCCAAACGTCCTAATAGATCTCTTTACAAGACTTAGTTTATAAGACCTAGTTTATAAGACCAAAAAAATAAAGCGTCCTATCTAAAGGCATTGTAATAAGTCTATATGACATTTTTTGACGTCGTAATAAGTTTTTTAGGATACTTTTTAATATAAAACGTCTTATTAGCAACTTTATAGAACGCTATTTGAAAAATTGTCCTATAAAACAAATGTCCTATAAAAAAATTAAGTTTATAGGACACTTTCTCAAAAGTATCCTATAAAATTGCTAATGTGACACTTTGTATTAAAAATATCCTAAAAAACTTGTTAAGACATCAAAGAACGTTATATAAACTTATTACGACACCTTTAGATAGGACGCTTTATATTTTGGTCTTATAAACTTATTATAACACCGTTTGGACTTTTATATTTGGCACATCATCATTTTCAGGCTCGTTTCGGTCTCTTTTTTACTTGTTGCATGTAAGATGGATGGTTAGTTGATCAATTCAACATTTTTCATTTCCATCCTAATTTTAAGTTCAATGTGAATTTGAGTTTGAATCTAAAACTTGGTTTTCTTTCTTTATTTCAAATGTTGGTTTGATTTGAAGTAAAGAAAGGGGAAAAAAAAACAGGCTTTTGGACTGCAAATATATTGAGCCATTTTCAACGGTGATTATTAATCACGAATGAAATTTTGGGCTTCTGGGGAATGAACTATTATTTATATTATATTATAAAATATTTGACAAAATTTTTAAACATCATTTTTTATGTATGCAGTATTGTTTATTGATGCATATTACTTAAAATCAAGATTACAAGTAATTTATAATTTAATTTAGGTTTGATAATGAAGTAATTTATATTTGGTTTAATATCGATATATTTTTGTCAAATTTTATGATATCTTCAAATTTATATTTTATTCAAAAATAAAAACATTATCGCTTTTTCTATCACATAAGACCATATTATAACATCGACTGAGATAAAAAAAAATAAAGCGAAATATTAAAATCAATATATATCTCGCTGCATTACGTAAATACCTTTCAAGTATTATATAAAACCAAACAATTTCTTTTATTTTCATTTTCATTGATTATTACTTAATAACCCTAACAAAACATTCCCTTAAAATTTTGCTTTTTAACCACACTTACCTATGACCAGAAGATCATAGTGGTTCAAGTCTTTGAAACAGTGTTTTTAGAAGGTCAAAAAGGTGTTTTTACAAGGTCAAAAAGTGTTTTTATGAGGTCAAGAAAAATGAATGGTTTACATACAAAGACTATTTCAACAAAAACTGTTTCCATCCACATGTACACATATTAAAACGCTAATTTGAGTAGCGTTTTGGGAGCTTATTGACATTTTTTTTTAATTATAACTCTGATAAACATCTAATTGTTATTTATTATAAAAATACCAATGGAGGTCTGGTCTCAAAATCTAGTATTAATTACTTATTCCGCAGGACAGGGTTATCCCTCCATGGTCAATGGGCAACAGGCTTTGACTTGGTTGAGCCTCAAAGCATTCACGCTCCCTTTGCAATTGAACCCCAGGACTACGGCTCAAAGGATCGTTAATAAAAAGCAGCGAGCGGCTCTTCAATTGGTAGACGGCCACCGAACGACTGAGAAAACGCAACTCTTTTAGTCGGTTTAGCAACAAAAGAAGGAAATGTTAATTTTTATTAATTTTTTAACTTGTTCTTTGTCATTTTATGTTTTTCAACTAGATTATCAGCTAGTTTTGTCACGCATATTTAGTTTATCAGCTAACTTATCAGTTAGTTTGCTAAATGTAGCCTTAAATACCCAACTTAATTAATTTTAATATATGGGTTGGTTTTACAAATTCATGTTATATTTAGAGTGAACTCCAATTTTGGTCTTTGAGGTGTAGTGAAAAGTTTGAAAAGTGGGAATTGAACTTTGATAAGTCTATAAAGCATCCTTGTGGTTTGCATTTTGCTATGAAAATGGTCCCGAATCACTAACTCTGTTAATAACTTTCCTTTAGTGAGAGGTATTTTTTGTCTTTTACCATTTTCTTAATTATTTTTACAGTTTGTCTTATTGATACTTTTGACTTTTCCGGCCATCCCAGATGCAACTTCCGTGGTCACTTCCAGTTGCCACCAACCCCTCTTTCGGTCATCTTTTCTCGCTAAAGCTTAGAGCTCTCACTCCCACATACATACAAGTCCATTCGCACTAAAAACTCAATCAAAGGCAAATCCAAATTTATACCTCCACATCAACTAAAAATGAGAAATCAACTGACAAAGTCAAAATCAAATTCAAAATTAAACCAAAAAACCTCAAAATCAAAATCGACATCAAACCCAAACCTTTGCCCATTTATGGAGCTTAAGGCATGAGCAACTCTGCCAATGTTATGTTCCAGTAGGGTTGACGAAAGGAGAAAAGGGAGGGGGAGGGTTTCCATTTTTCTGGGTCGCCGAAGACGGCGTTGGAGTTGGTAGAGTGGCGGAGTTCTTGTGGGGGAAGGGTTCCAACAATGTAAGGCCGAGTTATATCTTCATATATATAACATAATTAACTTTGTGTTCTCGAAACTCATTTTATGAAGGAAAAGAAAGGAAGGGGAGGGAACGATGAGGGAAAATGAAAAGAATCCATATTCTCAAAAAAAAAATTAGAAGAAAAAAGAAAAGAAAAGGAAAGAAACCAATGATTAGTTTCCTTCTAAAAGTTTCCTCCCAAACATGGGAGGAAAGGGAAGAAAGAAATTAAAATCATTTAAAAATTAATAAAATTACTCGGTCTTTCATTCTAAATGATAATTTTTAAAGGCATATTAGTAAAAATAACATCTTTCTTTTTCCTTCTCTCCGGTTCGAGATGAGAAATTATTTTATTTCTTCTCTTTTGAGAACACAAATAAAAAAATATTTTTTCTCCTTTCTTTTCCTTCCATTTTTTCCCTTTCTTTTCCCTCCAAATTCGAGAATATAACGTAAATTATATATATAAATAATATAGTATATTTTTATTAGGTTTTAAGAGAAAATTAGGGCGGACAGTAAAATGACAAAATTGGTCCTCACTTTAACGAACATTTTTAACAAAATTAGTGATATACGATGACTTTTAAAGTAAAATAAAAACTATAAGGATGATTTATAGATTTATCAAAATTCAGGTCTTACTTTCAAACTTTTCAGTAAAATCTCAAAGAACAAAATTGGAGTGTACTCTTATATTATGAAAACATTGTGTTTAAAATATAATAAAAAAATTAAAAAAAGGTTTGATTTGAAAATGAAAACAAAAAGGTGGGTGTACATTTGGTAATGCAGGCCAGAAGAGCCCAAGCTTGTTATCCTTCCACTAGAGATGGCCAAATCGGTCCGGGACCGTCGGAGGATCGGGATCGGGACCGACAAAGGACCGGACCGGGACCGGTAAGGACCGGTTATGGGACCGAAAACCGGGACCGGTTGAGATTTTTGGTAGTTTTGCGGGACCAGGACCGACCGGGACCGGGACCAGTTATGGGACTGACTATGGATCGGCCCGGCCCGGCCTGAAAATTCAAATAATTTTATAAATAAATGTATTTTTAAATAATTTTATAATGTATTTTTATAAGAAAACGTAATTTTAATTATATTAAAATGCATTTTTAATGTGTATTTGAGTGACCCAATTATAAATTTTATAATGTATTAAAAATACATATCATTAAAAAAATAAAAAAAATATTTTATTTTTTTAATGCAAGGACCAGTTGGGACCGGTTATGACCGGTTATGAGAAAGGTGAGGACCGATTGGGACCGACCCGGGACCGGTTTTTGACCATCTCTACCTTCCACTTTGGACTCTAAGATCCACGTGACCCAAGCCTTCGCCTGAACTTGAAGCACATGAACCAACTCCCAACTTGGTCCCTGACCAAGACCAAGCCCGGTGGCATTTGGTCCAAACCGAAAATATTGTCAATAGAGCCATTTTTGATTCTGTAATATTTTATCCATCCTAAATTTACCAGGCTTTTCATTTTATTATGTTGTTTTTAGGAACGAAATGATAAATAACGATGGTTGTTTTATGTTCATTTGTTTAATATTCATTTACCTTACCATCTTAACAACTGAACATAAACAAACACATTTTCTTAGCGAACGAACGACGTGAACACAATAAAATCCGTCTAGTGGAATGTAGACAAACATATCTACTCAAAAGAGTAAAACGGTTGTTTCCGTGAACCCCATGACTCTTAAAAGAGAGTATGTCGGAAAAAGGTTGCGAGAGATGGATGCATTGGAAGTGATGTATGTATAAAGCCTATGATAAAACTTGTTTATTTATGTACAAAATCTATAGAGAAGAGAAAAGAAGGCTATCTAGTTAGCGAAACCAAGGGAAGGGGGTGGTTTATTTACATATATGTCACAAGACTATGTGAAAGCCTCCCCATTTGAGACTTGAAGATATCTCCAATGGAGAATCTGGGCCTCACAGCAGGTGGTGATTCTGGTTTCACAACTTTCTCATTCTTCACTGCAAGATCTATTAAACCCATCTCTCTCTTCATGGATTTCACCAATTCCATGTCCACGTTATTGCCGAATACGTCCCTCACGTAGAACGTTATATCCACACATTTGTCCATTTTTGTTGCTAAATCTGCTCTCAATACAACTAGCCCATTCTCCCGAAGAACCCTAGTTATGTCTGATAGCAACCCTACCCTGTTATTCGCACATAATTCTAGCCGGATTCCCTGCATAAACAACACCCCTAGATGTGTTACAATAAAATGTGTATGTTTAATTTGAGTTGTATTCGAAGAATATACGCTACAACAAAATTGAGTTTAATAGAATGTTTTATATGACTAGTTTATAAGACCAAACAAAAAAGTGTTTTCTCTAAAGGTGTTACAATAAGTTTATAAGACACTTTAGGCATCATACAAGTTTTTCAGACAATTTCCAAATAAAGTGTCGCATTAGCTAATTTATTGGACGCTTTTAAGAAGTGTCCTGTAAACCCATATTTTTATAGGACATTTCAAATAGTGTCATGCAAAATAGCTAATTGGACACTTTATTTGAAAAATGTCCTAAAAAACTTGTTACGACGCTCAAAAGCATCCATTAAACTTATTGTAACACTTTTATATAGGATTCTTTTTTGTTTGGTCCTATAAGAAACACTCTATTAGGACAGTTATCTTTTTTTAGTGTCCTATAAACCCAATTTTGTTGTAGTGAATGCAACTCAAATTAACCTCCAAATCAACTTAAAACCATGGTGGAAGTTCTTGGTAGCTCACAGTTTTAAGCTTAAAATCACGGGTTGTTATAAGAGATTCAAGTTTTGCAAATTTTTTGAAGAATAATGAAATACCTCACATACACGACGCTCCACTGCAGCCTCTAGGCATTTCATAGCATGCTGCTTCTCGCTCTCAGTGCTCAATGCACCTCCGTCGATCTTTCTTACAAAATACTCCTGTCGAAAACATCATGATGGTTTAGGTTAAACAATAATATTCAAACGAGTTCCCAAGATGATTGAAAGCGGATGAATGATGGGATACCTGAAAGGCATAGCCTCCATGAGAATCAACAGAAGCATGAGAGATTACATATTGCATATCCGCGAGTGTGCAAACTGTATCAAACATAAGCCTTCTTCTATCCTTGCATTGCACCGTAACGATGGAATATCCCTTTTCGGCACAATTCTCTATCAATACACTAGCCTTTTCGCCCTCTTGATCGCCATCAGACTCCATTCCCAATGAGATTCCAGGAGGGTAGACTGGCGGCACATCAAAGTCCTGAACTGATAGTAGGAGTTGATGTAACCGTCGCTCTACGGTGGTCATGGTGCCTTCACTGCCACCAGCACCTATAAGACCAGTGGATTTGACATCTTTGTATTGTGGGGAAGCTGGACTAGTGTTTTCCGGTGTAATAGAGGCACGAAGGATGGTATTCAGGTGGTGTTTGATGGCGGCAAGGCGGTGGTCATCGATGCGAGCGTCTGAGGATTGATCTGAGATGTATGCTACACAAGCCAAACGGGAATTATGGCTCCACGCATGCGCTTCAACAATGTTACAATGGAGATCGGCTAAGGCTGCTGATATCTCCGAAAATAGGCCCGGTCGGTCCGTGGCGGTCATTTCTATAGCTGTCAGCTCTCCATGAAGATCTGTATCAAACAGTTTACTTGTTTGAGTTGTGATCTTTGATGCAACTCCACGATTCGACCCTATAGCCTGTGTCCCACCAAAAAAATCCTGTTAGAGCTTAGATTGCTTCAATCCCACAAATTAGAAGGCAAAAAACCAATGGATTAAACTACATAATTCTTCTCTTTGTGGGAAACATTCGGCTGCAATTATGATCGTGATTTTGTTGTAGTGAATTACCTGCTGGATGTAGTTGATGACTCTTTGATCAGAAACTTTTTTGCCATTCTCATCTTTAACATGAAATACTGCAAGTTTTCATAAAGCATAATTAATGTTTTTAAGGTTGTTTAAAAGCCAAATCATCGATTTCGATTTGTGTTTTGAAAGATACTATGCTTGACTATTGAAAGTCAAATTACCATCCATGAACCACCCAGCATCAGAAGATATATAACCTTTTGAGATTGTTAGGTTAACTTCTGTTAAAACCTGCACGACTTCCAGGAGTTGACCTTGCTTCTTTACACAATCTATCTGCAATTTTACATAACAAAAAATCGAATCAATCAGTTCTTTCATCTTTCGTAGTCTAAATGAGTTGTATCTTGATAAGACCTTAATTAGGGTCAGCTCGTTTAGCCCCGATTTCTGTTTTATAGGTCCCATTTATTCTTTTACCTTCACAATGGTACAATCCTCTAAGCTTTCATTGTCAAAGGTTACTCTGCAACTGAAAAGCGGTCGACCAAACAAGAATTAACCATAAAATTTCATTGGAAATGTAATCTTTCACTAGTTGGGATTTTAGTATATATAATGTAACACTTACGGTGGGCCATTTATCCTTTCGGAAAGGGAATCAAATTCGGGATCAAAGTAGGGTGAAAAAGCTCTTGTCATACTTCAAAGTTCAAACTGCAACAAGAACAATACCCTAATTTCGATTATAATTTGATTATACTACTAATCTACAAAGAAATCCTAAGAATTCTTGCAGTTAATGAAGATAGATGCAGGCTAATTGGTTGATCATGTATAGAACCATCACTAAAATGATACCAGTGATCAATTCAATAGAAATCAGTCACTTCTATAGTTGCTAAAACACATTACAAAAACCCTTCTGTTTCTGCAGTGATAGATCAACCTTCATGAAATCCCTAAATGTTGGGGTTTATGATCACGAAATATCGAAAATCTAAGCTATATAACTAACACTTCGATCTAGAATAACATTTGACGGGGACAAAATCTCCTTTCATACGTACATTATCGAAGGAAAATCGTAAAATTATTCGATATATAGATACGTTTTCCCTCATCAACATCGTTTGATCGATAAAAAAACCGTGAAATCAAGTAAGAAACGATCAATTTTAGGGATTTATGGCGAGGATTCCAAATGCGAAACCCTAAAGTACAGAAAACAAAGATTGCATGCAGATGAGAGTTAAAAAGGGGAATGAAAGAGCATGCACCTATGGAAATGTTAACAGTGAGTTGGAGGAGACGGCGGCGACCGGCGAATCAAATCTTGAAAATGAATATTCAGTACTCTCTCTCTTGAAGAAGATGAATCAACTGCATAATTTGCGAAAGTAGAGAGAGAGAGAGAGGGAGAGAGGAGAGAGAGAGAAGGAGATTTGCTAATATGGGCAATCAAGTTTGTTAAATGAAGAGAAGATGATGTAAAGATTTTGGCTTTAAATAAGAATGGAGAAAATTAATGGTGGAGATATGTTTCAAGAAAAGTCTCCACATGGTTCAAAAAGGGAATTTTTGTTTCATTAATGGATTTGATCATTTGACTTTTTTTTTTTTTTGCATTTAATTAAAATTAGGATAAATAACATACAAAAAGTATCATACTTTAACTTGATTTATTTTTTAAATAATTTGATTTTTAGACAATTTTTATTTGATTTATGGTATATATATGGTCATAATCAGATGACAACCTCAAATATTATGATGATTGTGAGAACAGTTACTTTAAGGTATTGTTTCACACGTTTTTTTTTATCTAATGTTAGAATTCAAGGTATTAATTAACATATATTTGTTTTGCATGTACTTGTTTCACAATGTTTAGAATCTTTTACATGTATTCATTGAACACAAATACGTAAAAAAGTTTCACATTATGAAACAAGTATATGTAAGACAAACAAATACATGTTCATCAATGCTTTAAATCTTAGTTTCAAATGACTATTTTTTTTGGGAAATAACACATCAGCTATCTTGATTATTACAAAATATTTAAGTTTCTAGCCATGACAATGAATAGATAGATAATTTCATTTCAAGAGTACCTGTAAATCTCAGGTTCAAATCCAATAAGAAATAAAAATCCTCTTGTGGTCATGGACGTTTAGATACAGTGACTCCAGACTACCCGAAAAACAGGTGGTTGTCCTAGATTTAGTCGGCTGCATAACAGATTGAGTATCCAAATTAATAAAAAAAAATACAAAATTCTTGGAGATAATGCAAATTGGTCAAAAGATCAATCCAAAACGAAAATGCTCTTTGAATCTTTAAACCATTTTGGGTAAATCTCTTTTGGACTTTTCTTCAAGTATATCTAGAAATAGACCATTTTATTTATAAATTCAATTAAATAGAAAATAAATAAAGAAATTAAATTGATATGTAAATAAAGTCCCTTTTTTTTTGGAAAACAATTTAATTGTTATAAATCGTATAAATCAATCTCAATCGTTCATATGTATTAATTAATATCTGGTTTTATAAATATATTGATTGTTTTTTAATTTAAAATGTTGATTGTAACTAATAAACTTTGATCAATTTTAATAAATATCATGATCATAACAAATGAAACTTCAATAGATATTAATAATAATTATTAATGATTTGTA